CTCATTAGTGGAAGAGTTTACTTTTCTAAAGGTATAACAGCATTTATGTGATGTGCAGTCAACCCTAAATTTGTTTTGATAAGGGTGTAGGCGAAATGAGGTGTAGGCGATATGAGGTCCGGCCATTTCAAGTACATCAGGAAACAACTGGACTACATGTTTACCATAACTTGTGATATTTTCTGTTTTGGTAATTAGGTTTTTAAATTCTGAGAGACTACATGACTTTTTGGAATTTGGTAGAGCATTCCATAAATTGATTGTGTCTGGTAACAAGGATTTGGCGTAAGAGGCAGTTCGACTGTAAATTCATTGTATTTCAGAGCTGTTTCTTAAATTATAACCTGCAGTTCCGGAAACGGAGTTTGGGATCAAATCACAAAGATAGTTTGGGAATTGGTTATTGTACATTTTAAAGAAAAAAGTTAATTTTTGACAGTACCTTCTATGTTGCAAGGACCGAAATTTAGTTTCAATATAAAGTTTGTTATGACTTGTGCCACGAACGGCACCACAAATAGTTCTCAAAGCATCAAGATGTAAGGTTTCTAATATACGCGACTGCTCAGACGTACAGTTATCCCAAATGTGCGGGCAATAGTCAAATATTTGCAAGATATAGGACTTATACATAATATCCAAGGTTTTACGTGATAATTGGTATTGAAAACTCCTCAGACAGCTGATCGTGGGGCGAACTTTACGTACAATATCATTGGTGTGGTCATTCCATGTACTGTCGCTTTGGAGTGTTAATCCTAAGTGTTTATGACTTGTAACTTCTTTTATGATTGTTCCGTTCATGAGTAGGTTCGGTTTTAGAGACGGTTTTGCTTTGTGTGAGAACCAAGTAGTTTCGGGTTTATTTGAGTGAAATGTAACCTGCCACTTCCGGGCCCATTGTGATATTTTTATTTAGATCGTTGTTAAAACAGGTTGCGGCAACTGATGGATCTTCTATGATAGCATATAATGAAGTATCATCCGCAAAGAGGCGAATGTTACTGTCAATATCACTTACGATATCATTAATATATATTCGAAAAAGAAGTGGTCCAAGGACCGAGCCCTGAGGTACTACCCGTTGCTACCCGTTGTACTCTATTTTCTAAATAACTTCCGAACTATTTGAATAGTTCGTCTTGGATACCATAAGTTTTCAGTTTATAAATAATTCCTCTATGCCATACCCTATCAAAGGCTTTACTTAAATCGCAGAAAACTGCTCTAACCTCTTTTCGTTCGTTAAGAGCTTTAGCTATGAAATTATACAAATAGATTAATTGATTTGATGTGGAATCTCCTGGCATGAATCCTGATTGTAAATTTGTCAGTATGTCGTAATCTCTTAGGAATTTGAATACATATTCAAATACACATTTCTCAAAGACTTTCGATAAGCAAGATGTGAGTGCGACAGGAGCATAGTTTGAACATTCATGTACGCTATCCTTCTTGTGAATAGGTACCACCAATGCCTCTTTCCATGAACAGGGAAGAATAGACTGGCTTAGCTAAGTTGAATAATTTCGCAAGTATGGGTGTTAGAGTGTTTGCGGTATATCTAAGTACTTTATTTCCTATTCCAGATCGGGTGGTCAGGTTCGCTGACTTGGTTGACACATGTCATCGGTTAACAATTGGCAGATCGATGCTCATGCTGTTGATCACTGGATTGTCTGGTCCATACTCGATTATTTACAGACCGCCGCCATATAGCTGGAGTATTGCTGAGTGCTAAACTCACTCACTCACACCTATTCCATCCGGACCGGTCGCTTTTGATGTGTCCAATGACAATAAAATATCTCTGACATCATCGAGGGTTAGAGTGATGTCCTCAATCAGATCCCAGTACGCCGCTATTATCTGCTCGTCGGACGGAACTGATTACGTAATAACGGTGTTTACATTTTAACTGTACCCACACCTAAAGCCCGGGAGTATCACGGTTGTCCATATGTTTGGCGTACGTGTAGATTGCTTTTGACACAGATCGCGACACCGCCACCACGAGTTTGCCTATCTTTCCTGAAAGGTAGGTGGTATCCAGTAATTGCTGTACCAAAACTGCTTATGTCTGCATTCAACCGGGTTTCTGTCAGACATATAACGCTATATGATTGAAATTCTGCGTCAGGTAAATCAATTTTGTCTTTCAAACTGCGTACGTTCAAATATATTATTTTAAGATCTCTGAAACAATTCGGCCCTGGATTAGGATGGATATCGCCACAGCAGAGTAGGATTAGAGAGGCAATTACAGATATATGAGTACTGTAGAGACACAAGAACTTAAAACTGCACGGATTTAATAAATCGGACTGCATATTTTGAATGTAGTTTTACAGCAAAGGAACATCCTGCCTGTCTGTACTGATCAACATCAGCCATTATCAAATATCATACATTTAGTCGTATCAGGTGAGACAGTGGGTTCCAGTGGGTGATTACATGAAGGTAGACACACACAAACTGAACTAAAGTAACTAATACATGTAAACACGTTTGTTGTAATTTGATGTAGATATAGGTCAAATGACACTGTGTAACATGATTTTCAATGAAACAATGAAAACAAAGAAAAGAAAAGAGAAAGGGGGAGATTAAGTAAGCCATAATTATAACCATGATATGGCTTAATAAGAAGAAACAAAAAGACAAGATGCGCCTTTATGGAAGGAACAACCCCAAAACTAGAGACAACGGAGAATCTTCAGATTAGCAAATTCAAGCTGGTTTGCTTGATATCTACACAATATACACATACACATCCAAACGTATACGCTCGCCGTTGTATACATAAATGCTTTCATCGAACCATATTACTATTAACGTTGATATTAACGTTTGATGTTCTATATACGCCTTAGTCGACAGGTAATAGCGAACTCATATACATGTATATACTTCAACGCGTGAAAAGGTCAAATAACATAGAACACCAGCTACATTAGAATACAAGTAGATTTTGCATTTGTTTATACTTACGTTTTATTTACGTAATAAATAGGACTCTTAGTGGTCCGGATTTGAATTTGAAAAACAGGTTGTTGTTATCCAGATAGAATCTTTCACATTTTCGCCGAAAGTTCCTTTTGAAAGTTTCATTTTTAGACGCCCACTTTGGGTAGTTCCTACTACTTTTGAAAACTGAGATATCCTTTATTTTTTGTTCTTCAATGTTGATTAAACGTGTTGAAATGAAATGACTTTATCATTGTAACATTTTATATAGGAAGGGATTCTTTTGAAATGTGTAACATTTTTATACGCACGTGCATCGGCACGATATCAAAGATTTGGATGTCCTCGTCTGGATCCGAGGAGTCTAACTATCAAAGACAGGCACACATTCATCCAACTTGTTTTGCTAGAAATATTCATAAATAAGTACATGGGTAAAAAGCTAATCAACGGTGTTTTTTCTGGCTACGCGCGTCGGGCCAGTAAATCTCCAGTCACTGGCCCGACTGGCTAATGAACGTTCATGGGGTCATTTCGAAAATATATCAATCTCTCCGACCTGTTAACTTATACTAAACTTTAAATCATGCAAGATTATGGCCTGATATAAGTGTTCATCATATTGGCAGCTTACAGTACGTTTACAGTGTAGAAACAGCGAGGGTCACTATTCAACGAGGGTATCTTTTCAATACGTGACCCGGGTTAATTTTCAATAGCAGCCGGGTGATTATTCAATGTTGAAAAAAGACCCCTAGCGTTGAAAAGTGAGTCCGGGTAATAATTCAATGTATGTTTTCAATCTTGCACCGGCAGTATTTATGGTGTCCTCCAACTTTGCCAATTTCATTGGGAAGCGATTAATTGAAGTTAATGGTGCAACAATGGGGATTAGGAAGGAATTAGTAGAGGATTATAACTCAAGTCAGTTCAACACTTTATTAATTTATTTCATTTTACAAAATTTACAAAAATATATATATGATTCATGTTACAAATAAAGTTACAGACATACAAAAATAAACAAATTGTAGAATCATGTGTCATGATGTTTAATGTGCATAGCTACCGGAAGTGTCTGTCTTGTTCTTTACCACGCATGCGTCCTCTCCTTTCCGTCCCGCCTGTCATGCTTGTGTGGCGTATATCATAACCTTCATCTTTTAAGTTTTGGTATAAACAAATTATACATATATAACATATTTTCATGTAATGTTTCTTTACATTTTATCATTTAAAGCAGAGGATTAGTGTTAACGTTATAAGTTGAATTACAGATAATAAATAAATGACACATATATAACATATAATCATGTAATGTCGGTTTAATCAAACACAACCACAATACAAATATTTACAGTTCATGTCGAGTCTTCTTCCCGTTTAGTGATATCCTTTTCAAGTATTCGTCTCATAGATGATTGTTTGTTGTATTGTTGACCTTTGGTCTCTAGCTGATTGTTATCTGTTTTGTATACTCTGCACTTTCATATGTACAAACATTTCCTTGTATCTAATTATTTTCGGATCGTCAATTGTCAACACCAGACTGTCCATACCAGGAAAGTTCATGCGGTCAACAAAGATTCATTGGCGGTTTCTCTCCCCCCTTTGAAAATCAGATTTAAAACCACATTGAATATTTTTTTTGCGTTGGCGGAGCCAATGTGGGGTTCAGGGGTCGAACCACCTGACCCCCACCCCAACCCCCTCTTAAAATTCCCAATCGTGACCCACTCGTGTTATTCCGTCTTCTTCGAGGTTACGGAAAGGGGCGAGTGGGGGAGAATGAAAAATTCCTGGATCCGCCCATGAGATTCGTGTCTGTGGAATAATATTTTTATATCCTTTGTATCCTACGACAATGGCCTCGGTGGATAGATGGTGTATTAAAATTAATGAGTCATTTTCATGTCCTACAAATTTCTAGCTGTGATTTCAGAAGATCGACTTTTGAGGTAAATGAATGATCCCTCGACGGATATCACTTTTAGTGCAACAAACCCTCCCCGTCTACTTCCGTTCACTGGCACGTGAAGTTTGCCGGCAGAATAGATCTATTGGGAGTGAGAAGTTGTCAAGTAGATCTAGTAAATTTAGAATGGAAACTTGGGTCTCCGTTGCTGGATTAGGTGGAGGTGGTGTTCTTGCAGCAGCATGTGCCTACAAAGTTCTTAGGTGCGGTTTGTTTTGAAATTGACAGCAAAAACATGCCTGGTTATCGAATTTCCCGCCTCGGTGTCAAATTCAATGGTGGGATTTCCACAAGACTGGGTCCTCCTCGAAAAATGCGCTCATTTGTACCAACTCAGTCTTCGAACAGCGTCATGTCCCCAATCGGTGTTTTAACCAAAATTAATTTCCAACATTTTTTAAAATGTGGAGATACCTGAATTTTAGCGTGGTGGAGTTGAATGTGTGTACAGTTCGTACCCAGTGTACGAGAAACATCCAACTGCTCTAACTATGATAAATTCAAATATTTCCCGATATTTCTGGTTAAGAATGGCAGATAAAACTATACTGCCAATATACTACATGGAAGCATTTACAATTTACTGTTTGTAATCTGCTCTTTAGAATATGTTGGGTGGTGGGGTAGGTAGACAAGTTTCTCCAGGTGGGTAAATCGTTCGCTGGTCACGCTGAAGAGCCGGGTTATATAGATTCCCGACAGGGGTACAATGTGTGCACCCATTTCCGTGTTTTATCATATTCCGGGATATTGCTGGAATATTGCTGAAAGCGAAGTAAAACCATTCTCACTCACTCTCGTTATGCATTATCATATCCCCGTTTCATCTAACTTCACATCTATCTAGTAGGTGCCTGTAATAAAAATAAACTGTCGGTTTAGTCATAACAGCCAATTTCCCTCATCAGAAGAGACCAGTGGAGTAGTACATACAAAGTAATGTTGAAGATGTACACAAAATATGTATGGATACACCTAGAGTTGATAACATATTACATGTTGGCTTCATGTGATTTGGGGCTGTGGGGGTAGCCTAGTGGTTAAAGTGTTGCCTTGACATGCCAAAGACCCGGGTTCGAATCCCCACATGGGTACAGTGTGTGAAGCCCATTTCTGCTGTCCCCTGTCGAGATGTTGCTGGAATATTGCTAAAAGCGGCGTAAAACCAAACTCACTCAGTCAGTCATGTGATTTGTCACGGCCTCTGTGGTGTAGTGGTTAGAGCGTCTGCCCGGAGAGAGGAATGTCGCGGATTCAATCCCCTGCTGCATCATACCAAAAGACGTTAAAATATGGTACTTGTTGGTCCCTGCCTGGCGCTCAGCATTAATGGGTCCACCAAGGACTGGTCGGCTCGGGTGTCAGTATAATGTGTCTGAGTGGGGTATACATGCTAAACTGCGGCATGGTATCACAGCAGAGCTACAGATAACTTTTGGGGTCATTCAGTAATGTACTCGCTTGTGTTCATCTCAATTGGGTATCCTAATTTTCCTTTGAGTAACCAAATAAGTTGTACCCACCTCACTCAAACTCAATTGGGTATTTTGCTAATTTGCATTAAATTTTAAAATATAACAAAGTATAAATGGTATTTATATTGCATCTGTAATATGAGAAACGATAAGAAAGACTGCATGTTCCCATGTTCATGTGTTGAAATAGAACCTCTCAATTTACCTCAGTTATTTTATCTATGCACCGGTACGCAAGCTAAGATTTGACATCTTTGTGTGTACGCATGTAAGGTCAAACATATTGAGTATTTACAAAACTTCAAGCGTACTTGTACGCAACTGACTTAATGAGAATTGAGTTTTCACATAAATATTTGCGTAATTTAAGCAGATACGCAGCTTATCTGTACCTCTGATCACAGTGAGCTAGCACTATAAAACCAGCTTAAGTCTGGGCTAGTACAAGCAGCCACACATACGCATGCACGTCGTCATATGAGCGAAATATTCTTAAGTGCGACGTTAAACCCATTTCACCTCACCTCACCTCATGTGATTTGTATTGCTGATGAGATAGTAACGACTGCAACAACTTCAGATTAGTTACTTGCCCTTGATTTGAGCGAGTTGGGTTTTATGTCATTTTTAGCAATATTCCAGCAATATCATGGTGGGGACTCAAGAAATAGGCTCACATATTGTACCCATGGGAGAATCGAATCCGGGCCTTGATTTGAGTAGTGACAGAAATAACAATAGTTGTCTTTGACATTGTAGGCAGTTCTATTAGTATTACTTTGATTGATAAAATTGAGAATTGTAGTTGGATCAATAAGAATAATACTATCATAGTACTGATAGAGAGGGGCGGTGGGGTAGCCTAGTGGTTAAAACGTCAGCTCATCATGGGGAAGACCCGGGTTCAACTCCCCACATGGGCACAATGTGTGAAGCTCATTTCTGTTGTCTTCTGCTGCAATATTGCTGGATTATTGCTAAAAGCGGTGTAAAACTAAACAAAGTCTCTGATAGAGAAGTAGAGCACATGGACCATAAAGATGTAAGTTGTACAATGCACAATAAGTGGCTTGTTATAGGTGTACAGATATTTGTTCCAGTTCTCATTTTGAATAGCTCCTTAGATCTTCAGTTCAGGTTTTCAGTCTAGAGTCCTATTTCTTGTTTTGCCAGACCACGCTTCCCAGTGCGTGTCAACTGTTGGTTCTGCAATGCCGACACGGTGGTGCCGTACGGGAACCGCAACTGCTGGGACTGTCCAAGCTGTGATCAGTACAATGGATTCGACAAAGTAGGTGAATGTCAACCTACATGGTCAGATGGCCACTTTGTATACACTGTACAAGTTGTTTTACTAACATTCTATCTGTTTCTTTCTCTTTATTAATCTTAATAATCATGGGAATGAAAAAAAAATCATCCGTTGCAGATATATCACAAAATATGGTCCCAAATCCGTGGCTCGTAGCAAAGTTGGAGAAATAGGTCGTCAGACTCGATGATTTGGATGATTGTGTGTTTACAATGATGGCTGTGTCAGCCACTTTTCCTATCTAGCCCAGACTTGATGCTGATTTGACTGATTTGACAGAGGTGTCTCTGTTGTCCACCCAGCCGATGAATCAATGACTCACTAACTCTATTGCTGCAGGCAGGGGACTACAACAAAGACATACCGGCCCAGCACATGCTGGAACTGAATCATGGTATTGGTTGTCGCCCGGAGGAGTATCTCGGCAGCTCCTCAGCTCTCTGTAATGGATGTGAACAGAACCAGCTGCTCAAGGTCAAACAGCTGGCCAGCTTTGTGCCCATGAATGAGGTATGTGAGAGTTTTGGGTTGGGAAGATGCAGTGGTTAGTCATATTCTCTGTTTCTGATACGATGTTCATCTCCTTACAGTGTTTCCGTTCTCCGGTATATACCTGAAAATCACCGGTAAAATTTGTTGGGGACCGGTAGATTGAAAGCCAACCGGACACTGTGTCCGGTAAATAATCATGTATTAAAATAAAAAATCATGGGTAAGCGAAATGACAGACTTGGCTGTGCTTTCATGGTCGCAAAAATTCTTATGTTTCGGAAATACCCAGGCTAAAAATAACTTTAAAATGAGTACTTACAGTATGGCAATAGGATACGACCGGGAAATTTCATTCAAGACCGGTAAAATTTTAGGTCGCCTGACACAGTGTGCAATAAATAATTAAGTCAGCGGAAACACTGCCTTAGGACCAAGGTCACTGCTGTCGCAATATAGCACGTTATCATTGTGTATCCTCGTGATGGTTCCAGGATGGAGTAAAGTTAGTATGCTTGTCTTAACTGATCATAACCAATGGTCAGGTTTGTTGAATAATTGCAAGCTGCACCATACCTCAACAGGTCATGATGTCACCCTGGACTGGATTATTTACATTGTGATACGTAGAGGTGGGGTAGCCCAGTGGTTAAAGCCTTCACTCGTGAAACCAAAGAAACATGTTCGAATCCCCACATGGGTACATTGTGTGAAGCCCATTTCTGGTGTCCCCAGCCGTGATATTGCTGAAATATTGTTTAAAGCAGTGTAAAACTAAACTGATTACATTCTGATAAAGTGATGAATGTTGCTGTTCAGTGTGAAGGGGTGGTGGGGTAGCCTAGTGGTTAAAGCGTTGGCTCGTCATGCCGAAGACCCGGGTTCGAATCCCCACATGGGTACAATGTGTGAAGCCCATTTCTGGTGTCCCCCGCCATGATGTTGCTGGAATATTGCTAAAAGCGGCGTAAAACCAAACTCAGTCAGTCAGTCTTCAGTGTGAAACAAGTCATGTATTCTGTGTTCAGGACAACTATGATGCTGAGATTGACGCCTACAAGGACCACCTGGAGAGGGTGTATGAACTCTGTGACCCCTGCAAGGTCGTTGTGGAGCATGAGTTGATGAAGCAGGATGATGCTCTCCGGGCCAAGCTGGATGCCAATACATCGACCATGTCCAACACTTCACAACAGTCTCACCTGGTGAGGAGTTGAAAAGACATAAGATATCAGTTTGGTAAACATGGTCAAGATGTATTTTGCTGAGCCCTCCTAGCCAGACATGTTTAGTCCATGTTGTCTGTCCTTGGTTCTTGATCTGACTGAAAGGCAAGTGTGCTTGTCAGGTGTCCATCGGCAAATTTGTCAGTGTCTTCTCAGAAACCACTGGCCCAATGAAGCTGAAACTTCACCTTGTTCGCATGTTTTTTCCACCCCCACCCCCTTCAAAATGCTGACACCTGAATTTGTTCACTAGGTTTAAATCCGACTGATAAGGCCACTACTCTTTATCTTTAAACACGATTACATTTGTTTCATATGTCGTTCAACCTGACTGTAACAATTCCTTTGACATTGGGAGACCTTGAACTTTGACCTTGCTGAAATTGAAGCAATTTTCCTACACTCTGTGATGTAATTTGTTATATATGCACATCAGCATGAGAGTATAATAAGTTAGTTACATAATGTTACGCAGACTTTGGCTTTCAAAGCATGGACAGCAGCATGTAGTGTTTTCCTCGCTGTTGTATAAGAAGTGGGTGATGTTGTGTACATGTAGCTATAGATCGCCTCCGTGGTGTAGTGGTTACAACGTCCGCCCGGAAGGTCGCTGGTTCGATCCCCGACCGCGTCATACCAAAAGACGTTAAAATATGGTACTTGTTGGTCCCTGCCTGGCGCTCGGCATTAATGGGTACAACAAGGACTGGTCGGCTCGGGAGTCAGTATAATGTGTCTGAGTGGGGTATTCATGCTTCACTGCGGCATGGTATCTCAGTGGGCTAGCACTATAAAACCAGCTTAAGTCTGGGCTAGTACAAGCAGCCGCACATACACATACACACGCATGCACGTCGTCATATGAGTGAAATATTCTCAAGCACAACGTTAAACCCAATTTCACCTCACCTCACCTCACATGTAGCTATATGTAGGTGTCAAACCATTCTGTTTTTGTCATATTTGAATGTTCGAATGATCTATATGATCTCCACCATGGAGAGTTCATTAGATGTACATTTCTCCATTTCTTGAATTGTTGAAGAGGATTGATTATTGTTTTTATTATGGCAGCCATATCCAATTTTTCATTAAATCTTCTAAATGTAAAAAAAAGTTTACCCTGTTTGGCATCAAAGATGACGGGTACAAATGAAATTCGGAGGGGCATAACTCTGTTCTAACATGGCCATTGTTTGATCAGATCCAACTCCCATTTAAGCACGGAATTTAACACAGCTCTTCTACACTTACAGAAAGGAGTGTCAGAGCTGTCCTCCCCAGCACAGTGCACTGCGGGTGATCTTCTCGGTATGACGTCTCTGGTGTGTGCATGTTTGGTGCTGGCCTACAGCCTGGGCCAGTATCCCAGCATGATCTCTGATGTGTGGCCACTGTTGACATTCGTGGAGATGATGCAGCCGTATCAGCAGGCTGTCCACTACACCGGCCTCTGTCTGTGCCTCATGTCCAAGATACTCATCGGGAAGGACAGGTACGTAGTACTTAGCTGGTTGTCATGACTACGTAGAATTCAACCCTGGAGGAATTCTGGGTAAGACCTGATCTGTGTCAACCTATGCTAATCGTACACAGCGACTTCACGGATTGGGGGGTCATGTTTTGTGACTTTGTTAATGGTGTGTCTTCATACCAGCTGACATGAATCATAGAATCTATTACTGGATTGTCTGGTCCAGACTTGTGTATTTACAGTCTGCTGTCATGTAGTTGGAATATTGTCGAGTGTGGTGGTATATAACAAGCAAGTCATCAATCCTAGAGTTTGGTCATCATCTGACTTGATCTGCTGTTTCATTACCGCTGGTCCTCACAGATGATTTGTTGAGGACCCATTGTGAAATATGATTGGCTGTACTTTGTTGTTATAGTCCGTTTGGCTCAAAAGCGGACCGATGAATTGCAATCTAACTCGAAAACTAATAAACATAAAATACTCAATAAACACCTGGCTGTCCCTTTCTCTGCACTCCTCCCTCGTAACAAACAGTGAACTGTGTCAATATTTTAATGATAGTTTGTTAAACAACATTATTATTTTTAGGACAAAAATTCTGCAAAACCTCACAGAGTGGGTATGATGTTTTGATTATGATCAGCGTTTCATTGAGTATGTTATGTTTATTAGTTTTCGAGTTAGATTGCAATTCATCGGTCCGCTTTTGAGCCAAACGGACTGTAGGTCATTTTGGTGTCCAAGATGTACACACAAACTGTGACTATTCCCAAATTAATCTTTTTGTAACTATGACTCTTATGAAAAGTTATTTAAATTAGTCTTAAGGCTTTCCCTGTCAATATGCTAACTCTGTTGTGACAGTCGTCCCTCTTCCTGTGCTCGGATGACACATCCCAGAAGCCGGGCTTGCTTGTCATTTGGTGATTTCCTCTTTTGTTACTGCAGTCCTATCAATGGTTACATACTGTACATGAGGTCACTTTTATTTGACTGATAACAAAGTCAATGAATTGTTAAGAGAAATCTACTGACTTTAATGCTTTCATATATAAAGGGCAGTTGAACTTTGAGTCCTGTCTTTGAACTGGTTAGTTTTAGTAATTGTTTCCATGGTTACGATTGACATTCCTGTATTTCAGACTGTTCCTGGTAGATGTTGTGGTGAGCATCACCTGGATATTATGTGCAGCTGCAGTGACAAGGGACATAACTCTGTGGTCACCTGGGATGGCTGTGGACAACAAGGTGCTGACGGTCCTGTTTGGTGTAAACTTGGTGCTGTCTGTGGCCAGCTGCATCATCACCAGGAGGAGGACGACAGCCACAACCAAGACCTTCAGGAGGTGAGCCCTAGGACCAGCCTGTATTAGCTATGAACTTTCTGTGTCTCTCTCCAGAGTCTAGTGCTCTTGGAGAACATGTCAGGAAGATTCCACAGTTGTTATCCTGCCTGGCACTTGACATTAGGGGAGCACACTCTCAGCTCTATAGAAGTCCTGTAACAGGGGAGAACACTCTCAGCTCTATAGAAGTCCTGTAACAGGGGAGAACACTCTCAGCTCTATAGAAGTCCTGTAACAGGGGAGAACACTCTCAGCTCTATAGAAGTCCTGTAACAGGGGAGAACACTCTCAGCTCTATAGAAGTCCTGTAATAGGGGAGAACACTCTCAGCTCTATAGAAGTCCTGTAATAGGGGAGAACACTCTCAGCTCTATAGAAGTCCTGTAATAGGGGAGAACACACTCTCAGCTCTATAGAAGTCCTGTAACAGGGGAGAACACTCTCAGCTCTATAGAAGTCCTGTAACAGGGGAGAACACTCTCAGCTCTATAGAAGTCCTGTAATAGGGGAGAACACTCTCAGCTCTATAGAAGTCCTGTAATAGGGGAGAACACTCTCAGAACACCTCAGCTCTATAGAAGTCCTGTAACAGGGGAGAACACTCTCATCTCTATAGAAGTCCTGTAACAGGGGAGAACACTCTCAGCTCTATAGAAGTCCTGTAACAGGGGAGAACACTCTCAGCTCTATAGAAGTCCTGTAATAGGGGAGAACACTCTCAGCTCTATAGAAGTCCTGTAACAGGGGAGAACACTCTCATCTCTATAGAAGTCCTGTAACAGGGGAGAACACTCTCAGCTCTATAGAAGTCCTGTAACAGGGGAGAACACTCTCAGCTCTATAGAAGTCCTGTAATAGGGGAGAACACTCTCATCTCTATAGAAGTCCTGTAACAGGGGAGAACACTCTCAGCTCTATAGAAGTCCTGTAACAGGGGAGAACACTCTCCTCACAGCTCTATAGAAGTCCTGTAACAGGGGAGAACACTCTCAGCTCTATAGAAGTCCTGTAATAGGGAGAACACTCTCAGCTCTATAGAAGTCCTGTAACAGGGGAGAACACTCTCAGCTCTATAGAAGTCCTGTAATAGGGAGAACACTCTCATCTCTATAGAAGTCCTGTAACAGGGAGAACACTCTCACAGCATCTCTATAGAAGTCCTGTAATAGGGGAGAACACTCTCAGCTCTATAGAAGTCCTGTAACAGGGGAGAACACTCTCAGCTCTATAGAAGTCCTGTAACAGGGGAGAACACTCTCAGCTCTATAGAAGTCCTGTAACAGGGGAGAACACTCTCAGCTCTATAGAAGTCCTGTAATAGGGGAGAACACTCTCACCGCTCTATATGGCTCTACAGAAGTCCTGCAACTGTGAAAGGGACAAATGAGCTCATTTTCCTTGTTAGATTAGTGTTTCAGGTTAGAGAGTGTATGCCTCAATGTGAGTATTGTATATTCCAGAGCCGTGAAGATCCGGGTTAGAATTGATCTTCAGTAACCCATGCTTGTCATATGAGGCAACCAACGGGATCGGGTGGTCAGGCTCGCTGACTTGGTTGACACATGTCATCGTATCCCTGTTGCGTAGTTCGATGCTCATGATGTTGATCACTGGTTTGTCTGGACCAGACTCGATTATTTACAGGCCGCCACTATATAGCTGGAATATTGCTGAGTGCGGCATAAACTAAATGTGCTCACTCACTGTATATTCCATCATCCAATCTCTATGCAGGCTTTCTCTCGACAAAAGCACAGGCAGCTATCAGAGTGAGGCTGAAACGGTTGCCATATCCTCCGTCAGCACCAGTCGAAGGGCACAAGCTGACCAGTCAGAGGTGAAGGAGGAGGGCACAACCTGACCTTGAGATGGAACCTGTCAAAACCAACTCAGAGGTGATTCAGGAGGAGAAATATTAATGATTTGGATGACCTACTTAATGGAGAACCGGAAGATGAGATGGGAAGCATTCTTGTCATAAAGGCTTACTCTCTTGGGTCTAACGGAAAACCAACTCAGATGAAGTCAGGAGATCGATGCTCAGTTGATCACTGGATCGCCTGGTCCAGAATTATTAATGATAATATTGCTGAGTTTATTACCTACTTAATGGAGAAGTCTGTTTAATAACATACATTTAATGCAATCCCATCATGTTGCATCTGCTGGTAAAATGAAAGTATTGACAGCTGTTTCCTGTAACCTGGGCTCCCACACAGATGATCTACCCTTGATGGACACTTTATGTATGTATCTAGGTTCTGTATGATTTGAAATAAGCTTGCAATGAAAACAGTATCAACATTGTCAGAACATTTTAGGAATGCTTCCTTTGGTATATGGTAACAGTCTTGTTAATGTAGGACAATGTCTTGACTCACACATGCACAAGTTTGTATGTGTGGGGCTGTGTAAAGACAGAGAAAGTAGTATTAGCTATTCTGAAAATTTCTTGTGGAATTGCCATCACTAAAAACAGATTTTCTGCGTTTCTACCAAACACTGTTTTGAAGTTTGTGTCCGGAAATAGAAAATACATTTTCTCCTTTTACTTGTTAAATTTGTAGCAATTAATTGTGGTCAAAGCACATTTTTTAAATGATTCTCAACAATCTTTCCAGAAATTGTGATGTTAGTTAACAGATAAGTCAGGTTTTTAGCTATGCATCTGGTGTTTGTCCATACAGAACTATATCAATGTTCCAGTTGATGATAGCTCTCATGTCTCAGCATTGTGTAGCTGTGTAGGGTTACACACACCTGACACCTGTAGTATTGGGTTTGAATCCCAGTATGTCCCAGTTGTGTTTCTAGGTTCGCTGTGTAGGGTTACACACACCTGACACCTGTAGTATTGGGTTTGAATCCCAGTATGTCCCAGTTGTGTTTCTAGGTTCGCTGTGTAGGGTTACACACACCTGACACTTGTAGTCTTGGGTTTGAATCCCAGTATGTCCCAGTTGTGTTTCTAGGTTCGCTGTGTAGGGTTACTCACACCAGACACCTGTAGTCTTGGGTTTGAATCCCAGTATGTCCCAGTTGTGTTTCTAGGTTCGCTGTGCAGGGTTACTCACACCAGACACCTGTAGTCTTGGGTTTGAATCCCATTATGTCCCAGTTGTGTTTCTAGGTTCAGCTGTGCAGGGTTACTCACACCAGACACCTGTGGTCTTGGGTTTGAATCCCATTATGTCCCAGTTGTGTTTCTAGGTTCGCTGTGCAGGGTTACTCACACCAGACACCTGTAGTCTTGGGTTTGAATCCCAGTATGTCCCAGTTGTGTTTCTAGGTTCGCTGTGCAGGGTTACTCACACCAGACACCTGTAGTCTTGGGTTTGAATCCCAGTATGTCCCAGTTGTGTTTCTAGGTTCGCTGTGTAGGGTTACTCACACTTGAAACCTGTAGTCTTGGGTTTGAATCCCAGTATGTCCCAGTTGTGTTTCTAGGTTCTCTGTGTAGGGTTACTCACAATTGAAACCTGTAGTCTTGGGTTTGAATCCCAGTATGTCCCAGTTGTGTTTCTAGGTTCTCTGTGTAGGGTTACTCACACTTGAAACCTGTAGTCTTGGGTTTGAATCCCAGTATGTCCCAGTTGTGTTTCTAGGTTCGCTGTGTAGGGTTACTCACAATTGAAACCTGTAGTCTTGGGTTTGAATCCCAGTATGTCCCAGTTGTGTTTCTAGGTTTGCTGTGCAGGGTTACACACACCAGACACCTGTAGTCTTGGGTTTGAATCCCAGTATGTCCCAGTTGTGTTTCTAGGTTCGCTGTGTAGGGTTACAGACACCTGTAGTCTTGGGTTTGAATCCCAGTATGTCCCAGTTGTGTTTCTAGGTTCGCTGTGTAGGGTTACTCACAATTGAAACCTGTAGTCTTGGGTTTGAATCCCAGTATGTCCCAGTTGTGTTTCTAGGTTAAGCTGTGTAGGGTTACTCACACCATTGACACCTGTAGTCTTGGGTTTGAATCCCAGTATGTCCCAGTTGTGTTTCTAGGTTCAGCTGTGCAGGGTTACTCACACCAGACACCTGTAGTCTTGGGTTTGAATCCCAGTATGTCCCAGTTGTGTTTCTAGGTTGCAGTGTAGGGTTACTCACACTTGAAACCTGTAGTCTTGGGTTTGAATCCCAGTATGTCCCAGTTGTGTTTCTAGGTTCTCTGTGTAGGGTTACTCACACCAGACACCTGTAGTCTTGGGTTTGAATCCCAGTATGTCCCAGTTGTGTTTCTAGGTTCTCTGTGTAGGGTTACTCACACCTTGACACCTGTAGTCTTGGGTTTGAATCCCAGTATGTCCCAGTTGTGTTTCTAGGTTCTGCTGTGTAGGGTTACTCACACCAGACACCTGTAGTCTTGGGTTTGAATCCCAGCATGTCCCAGTTGTGTTTCTAGGTTCAAGCTGTGTAGGGTTACTCACACCAGACACCTGTAGTCTTGGTTCCCAGTATGTCCCAGTTGTGTTTCTACCAGACACCAGACTGTAGTCTTGGGTTTGAATCCCAGTATGTCCCAGTTGTGTTTCTAGGTCTGGCTGTGTAGGGTTACTCACACCAGAACACCTGTAGTCTTGGGTTTGAACCTGTAGTCCAGTATGTCCCAGTTGTGTTTCTAGGTTCGCTGTGTAGGGTTACTCACACCAGACACCTGTAGTCTTGGGTTTGAATCCCAGTATGTCCCAGTTGTGTTTCTAGGTTAAGCTGTGCAGGGTTACTCACACCTGACACCTGTAGTCTTGGGTTTGAATCCCAGCATGTCCCAGTTTCTATGTCCCAGTTGTGTTTCTCAGGTCCCAGTTGTGTTTCTACAGGGTTACACACACCAGACACCTGTAGTCTTGGGTTTGAATCCCAGTATGTCCCAGTTGTGTTTCTAGGTTAAGCTGTGTAGGGTTACACACACCTGACACCTGTAGTCTTGGGTTTGAATCCCAGTATGTCCCAGTTGTGTTTCTAGGTTCGGCTGTGTAGGGGTTACACACACCTGACACCTGTAGTCTTGGGTTTGAATCCCAGTATGTCCCAGTTGTGTTTCTAGGTTCCCAGTTGTGTTTCTAGCTGTGTAGGGTTACACACACCAGACACCTGTAGTCTTGGGTTTGAATCCCAGTATGTCCCAGTTGTTGTGTTTCTAGGTTCGGCTGTGTAGGGTTACACACACCTGACACTTGTAGTCTTGGGTTTGAATCCCAGTATGTCCCAGTTGTGTTTCTAGGTTCTCTGTGTAGGGTTACTCACACCAGACACCTGTAGTCTTGGGTTTGAATCCCAGTATGTCCCAGTTGTGTTTCTAGGTTCGCTGTGTAGGGTTACTCACACCAGACACCTGTAGTCTTGGGTTTGAATCCCAGTATGTCCCAGTTGTGTTTCTAGGTTCTCTGTGCAGGGTTACACACACCAGACACCTGTAGTCATGTGTTTGAATCCCAGTATGTCCCAGTTGTGTTTCTAGGTTCTCTGTGCAGGGTTACACACACCAGACACCTGTAGTCATGTGTTTGAATCCCAGTATGTCCCAGTTGTGTTTCTAGGTTCTCTGTGCAGGGTTACACACACCAGACACCTGTAGTCATGGGTTTGAATCCCAGTCTGTCCCAGTTCTAGGTTTGTCAGCACAAGACCCGTGTTCATGGGTTTCTTTAGTGTCCCAGATCTGTGTCACTTTGGATTTGTGTTGTACGTTTAGCTGACATGCCGTACGTAGTATTGCAGGATTACTGTTCAAAGTTGCATTGAAACCAATCAGAATCAGAACCCTGCATGCAGATTTATGTCTGTAACAGTGAAATAGAAAACATACATTAATATATAAACATCCGTACTGTTCAGGTATGTTTTCCATGACGGGCAGCCAGGCCAGCTTTACTTCATTGAGTGCCATCCCTCGTCCATTGCTGGGTCCAGCACGGCCCCTGATCAGCCCCGCCCGACTACGTGTGACGTCTTCCACACCCACAGGTGGGTCACTAACTTCCAAAGTTGTTGGGGCATGGAGTTTGCATGACATCTTTTTTTTTTCTTTTTTGATTTTTTTTTTTTTTTTGGGGGTGTGTGTGTGTTTGTGTGTGTGAGCGCGCATGCGTGCATGTTCTATTTTGGGGGAGGTTTATGTGACATTCCTGTTGTATTAGTTGTCAACGATGGAAAGCATAATGAACTGTGGACATTATCTCCCAAAAGCCAGTTAGCATCTGAAACTGAAACTTTGTTCTTGCTCCTGACAGAATTTGTTCAAGAGATTTGAATTTGGTTTTGAGTGAAGCCACTCTGTTATCTGTGACCATAAGTTGGGCCGTTTGAGGAAGGTAACGATTCCTTTATTACAGCAGGTAGGACAATCTATTGCATGCATTCTTTTTATATGTACTTTGTGATGAACATGTAGAAGAGCAAACCCATTCATCCAATATTCTCTGTGTGTCAAAAATTTTGTATTCGTGTGAATTGTGGGATATTGGTAAAGTCACAATGCTTGTGTAATAAACAGAGGATCCTGGTTGCGAATAATGTCCCATATAAAATGTATATCTGCAGTAATGTTTCATTCTGTTTGGTAGACATCTTTAATCAAAAGTCATCAAGTGGACCGACCCTTCACACGAACCCTGCCTTTGATTCAAGAAGCCGACAGTCTCTGCAGTTTCCCAGGCTCCAGACTCAAGTCCGGAACAATCCCTTCCTTGAGCAGAGCCTCACAACAGAGAGACTGTCTCTCTTCAACTCTCAGATCTCAGGTAATACAGTATCACAACATCCGTGGCAGACGAAAAGAGACAGTGAGGCAAGTTCTACAAGACAGTTTGACGTCAGTGTGTCCGAGCAGAGCACGATACAAGCCTCACCACTCAGGAACAGCACTCTGTGGCAGCACGCCAAGTTCGGCCAGACTCATCTGTCACCAGATAAACTGTCTCAGTGCAAGTTCACGTCTCAAAAACCTCAGGGTTCTCCCAAGCAGAGCCTTCAGACAGATGTTTGTAGAGGCCTGACCCGTCCAAGTACACCCATCAGGAAGTCGCTATGGCAACAGAACATCATGCAGGAGTTGGACAATCAGGTGACTGTGCCTGTGATAGAGAACAATGTGTTTCAGAGGACTGATACTGGGCCAGTTGTGTCCAGTGCTGTGAAGAGTGCGGAATCCTGTGTGTTGACTTCCAGCACGATGATGTCATCGCTGGACGATGACTTTCTGAGACGGAGACATGTGCAATCAGTTGAGGAGGAAACTAGTCAGGTGAAAGAGGATTCCACCAAGTCATCTGATTGTCTGGTTGACAGCACAGTCGTCATTAAACCCAGCAAGCCAAGCAGTAAGTGTAGAAGCAGGATGTCACAGGGGGATCTGTGGGGGGAATAGTCTTCAGGACACTAGGTGTTGTAATTGCAGTGTTGGATACAGTGGTTGAAGAGATTCTCTAGAATGTGTCACCACAGGCTTTCCATCCACATCTAGCTGTCTTGTCTTGAGACCCGTGAATATTTGGGTTAGAATTGGTTTCCCAGTAACCCATTCTTGTCGTAAGAGGCGACTAACAGGATCTGGTGGCCAAGCTCCATGACTTGGTTGGCACATCTCACCATATCCCAATTGCGTAGATCGAGGCTCATGCTGTTGATCACTGGATTTTCTGGTCCAGACTCAATTATTTATAGGCCACAGCCATATAGCTGGAATATTGCGGCGTAAAACTGAACTCGCTCACTGTCTAGTCCAGACTCCAGTTCCACCAGTATTGAGGTGATGTAGATGTAGTCTATCATGTGTGAAGCAGCCAGGGCAGTTCAGAGTTCCAATATCATATATTGGTATTGTGTGCAAGATACATAGAGAATACTAAACAATGTCCCGTGTAGTACCATATATATCATATATTGGTATTGTGTGCAAGATACATAGAGAATACTAAACAATGTCCCGTGTAGTACCATATATATCATATATTGGTATTGTGTGCAAGATACATAGAGAATACTAAACGATGTCCTGTGTAGTACCATATATATCATATATTGGTATTGTGTGCAAGATACATAGAGAATACTAAACGATGTCCCGTGTACTACCATATATATCATATATTGGTATTGTGTGCAAGATACATAGAGAATACTAAACGATGTCCCGTGTAGTACCATATATATCATATATTGGTATTGTGTGCAAGATACATAGAGAATACTAAACGATGTCCCTGTGTAGTACCATATATATCATATATTGGTATTGTGTGCAAGATACATAGAGAATACTAAACGATGTCCCGTGTATTGGTATTGTGTGTAGGATACCATATATATCATATATTGGTATTGTGTGCAAGATACATAGAGAATACTAAACGATGTCCCGTGTAGTACCATATATATCATATATTGGTATTGTGTGCAAGATACATAGAGAATACTAAACCATGTCCTGTGTAATACCATATATATATCATATATTGGTATTGTGTGCAAGATACATAGAGAATACTAAATGATGTCCCGTGTAGTACCATATATATCATATATTGGTATTGTGTGTAAGATACATAGAGAATACTAAACGATGTCCCGTGTAGTACCATATATATCATATATTGGTATTGTGTGCAAGATACATAGAGAATACTAAACGATGTCCCGTGTAGTACCATATATATCATATATTGGTATTGTGTGCAAGATACATAGAGAATACTAAACGATGTCCTGTGTGTAATACCATATATATCATCATAAATGGTATTGGTGCAAGATACATAGAGAATACTAACTGATGTCCCGTGTAATACCATATATATCATATATTGCATTGTGTTAGATATAGAGAATACTAAATGATGTCCCGTGTAATACCATATATATGAAACGAGTAAATGTATTGTGTGCAAGATACATAGAGAATACTAAACGATGTCCCGTGTAGTACCATATATATCATATATTGGTATTGTGTGCAAGATACATAGAGAATACTAAACGATGTCCCGTGTAGTACCATATATATCATATATTGGTATTGTGTGCAAGATACATAGAGAATACTAAGCGATGTCCCGTGTAGTACCATATATATCATATATTGGTATTGTAAATGCAAGATACATAGAGAATACTAAACGATGTCCCGTGTAGTACCATATATATCATATATTGGTATTGTGTGCAAGATACATAGAGAATACTAAACGATGTCCCGTGTAGTACCATATATATCATATATTGGTATTGTGTGCAAGATACATAGAGAATACTAATGCGATGTCATATATTATATTGTGTAGTACCATATATATCATATATTGGTATTGTGTGCAAGATACATAGAGAATACTAAACGATGTCCTGTGTAGTACCATATATATCATATATTGGTATTGTGTGCAAGATAAACATAGAGAATACTAATTGTGTGCGATGTCCTGTGTAGTACCATATATATATCATATATTGGTATTGTGTGCAAGATACATAGAGAATACTAAGCGATGTCCCGTGTAGTACCATATATATCATATATTGGTATTGTGTGCAAGATACATAGAGAATACTAAACGATGTCCCGTGTAGTACCATATATATCATATATTGGTATTGTGTGCAAGATACATAGAGAATACTAAGCGATGTCCCGTGTCCCGTGTACCATATATATCATATATTGGTATTGTGTGCAAGATACATAGAGAATACTAAACGATGTCCCGTGTGGTACCATATATATCATATATTGGTATTGTGTGCAAGATACATAGAGAATACTAAACGTGTAAATGATTGTTGTGTGTAGTACCATATATATCATCATATTGGTATTGTGTGCAAGATACATAGAGAATACTAAATGATGTCCCGTGTAGTACCATATATATCATATATTGGTATTGTGTGCAAGATACAAAGAGAATACTAAACGATGTCCCGTGTAGTACCATATATATCATATATTGGTATTGTGTGCAAGATACATAGAGAATACTAAACGATGTCCTGTGTAGTACCATATATATCATATATTGGTATTGTGTGCAAGATACATAGAGAATACTAAACGATGTCCCGTGTAATACCATATATATATCATATATTGGTATTGTGTGCAAGATACATAGAGAATACTAAATGATGTCCTGTGTAGTACCATATATATCATATATTGGTATTGTGTGCAAGATACATAGAGAATACTAAACGATGTCCCGTGTAGTACCATATATATCATATATTGGTATTGTGTGCAAGATACATAGAGAATACTAAACGATGTCCCGTGTAGTACCATATATATCATATATTGGTATTGTGTGCAAGATACATAGAGAATACTAAACGATGTCCCGTGTAGTACCATATATATCATATATTGGTATTGTGTGCAAGATACATAGAGAATACTAAACGATGTCCCGTGTAGTACCATATATATCATATATTGGTATTGTGTGCAAGATACATAGAGAATACTAAACGATGTCTAAAGCGATGTCCCGTGTAGTACCATATATATCATATATTGGTATTGTGTGCAAGATACATAGAGAATATACTAAACGATGTCCCGTGTAGTACCATATATATCATATATTGGTATACATGTGCATAATATCATATATTGGTATTGTGTGCAAGATACATAGAGAATACTAAACAATGTCCTGTGTAGTACCATATATATCATATATTGGTATTGTGTGCAAGATACATAGAGAATACTAAACGATGTCCCGTGTAGTACCATATATATCATATATTGGTATTGTGTGCAAGATACATAGAGAATACTAGAAAAGCGATGTCCTGTGTACGGTACATATATGGTATGAAAGAAAACTAAAGTGAATGGTTTGGTATCTAACAAGCGAAAGCGAGTTAGATACCAATACCTTTCACAAGTTTCATAAATTAAAATACTGTATTACACGGGACATTGTTTAGTATTTTATTTATTACTCAACCAACATTAGCAAAATAATATCGAGCAAAGTACTTTTTCCTAAGAATTCAATGAGTGTGATGACTCTCAGCTTTCTGTGAGTCAAGCAAGGTCTAATACTGTTGTGACAGAGGTATTAGCATTGTGACGTCATAACTGTAAACCAGTTTTACGTCATACGTACGGCACCACGTGATGTTATTACACAATGTGGAATAACATTGTAAAATTATTAAACAGTGATATCTTCAACGGATGAGTAATAAATGTACCTATGTCTTTGTGATGCCTATCTTACTTTCCGTTACAGATCTGAAGACGCTGGGACTTGGGGCTGTCCTGGTCGCTAGTGTTCTGGGGAATGCTGTTTTGGTGGTGTACTTGTTCAGCAAGAGCTGAAGGAAACAACAGCATACACTGACATTTGATGGCGGCTGTTGTAGGACAGCACTCAGTCTCTGATGCTCAGGGTGGTTGGGCTGGAATGACACTAGTCACTGTTCCCGACCATAATCGACCAGACTGTTTGTGCCATTCCTGGATATGCATATACTGAATGAGGGATACTTTTCTCCGTCATGGCTTGTCATGATTTTCAGAGAAAGAGCAAAGATATCATGTGGACACGATTATTAACATCTTTGTGATAATGATAACATAAGCCAAATGACAGACATATCTTTTGATCTCATCTCTGTAATGTTGATCATGATCATGTTACTATGCCTTCCTTTATTGCAGGGTTGATAAATTATTATTCAGATGACCATCCGGTACACCATGTGTTGCTAATTCCTACTTCTCCTTGGTCATTACCATGGTTACAAGACCGCACATGGTTTTCATTATAATTAACTGTTTGGCTTGTGTTCTTTAAATACATTTTTTCAGTCAAATTAAGCATAAAGGCTTGATGTGGGAATACATTCAGTCAACACACACTGCATGTGGCACACAGGCCTGTGGAAAACAATTTTAAAAACGTGTGCCATTTGTTGACTTTATCAAGTTAATGCGATATTATCACAAAATATTATTTATAGTCCCCCGTAATTATAATTTTTAATAAATAGAAATAGTTTTTTGAAATGTCACTGTTATAACCATAAAACAACTGAAGAATGACGTGTCACTTGGCATATGATTGGATCAACCCAAAATTCAGGTCATATTAACATGTTTGTGTCCTACACTGCTTTCAGTAATAAGACTTGGGTGCTGAGGTATTGTACAACACCCCCCAGGTCACTCAGTTACTGTTGAGTTTACTGGGTCAGACAGGTGTTCCCACGAACACCTGGCCAGAATGTAGCAGTACTTGTCATCAGGTTCTCTCATGGTGTCGTAAATCACATCGTTTTCAAACGGTTATAGACATTATTTTTATATAAAATGAAAAATAAAATGTTGAATAATTTTATAATTAATTTTAGACATGATCAAATGTTTTCTTAATTTGTAACCCGTGGAGGTCCGGGTTAGAATGAACCTTCAGTAACCCATTCTTGTCGTAAGAGGCGACTAACGGGATTGGGTGGTCAGGCTCGCTGGCTTGGTTGACACATGTCATCAGTTCCCAATTGCGTATGTCGATGCTCATGCTGTTGATCACTGGATCGTCTGGTCCAGACTCGATTATTTACAGACCACCGCCATATAGCTGGAATATTGCTGAGTGCGCGGCTTAAAACTAAACTCACTCACTCACTCACTGGAGATGGAAAATGTTTTCTTGCTTTGACGTATATCTAGTTGGCATCAATATCTACTGTAAAGATGCTTTAGCTGTGATGTAGAATTATTTTATAAAAACATAAATACTACATACAGAAGTTAAACATTGATTACCTGGGAAAGGTTAGCTGGGATGGGGCAGAACTTGACTTTGTCATTTAATGGATATTGTGATCTAATTACAATCTATGATGTACAACAGTCTGATAAACTGGTTGTCACAATCTGACAAGTCTGTGAGTTACATCCATTTATGGTCCGTTTGGCTCAAAAGCGGACCGATGAATTGCAATCTTACTCAAAAACTAATAAACATAACATACTCAATGAAACAATGATCATAATCAAAACGTCAGACCAACTCTGTTATTAGTTTGCAGAATATATGTCCTAAAATTTGAAAAGTTGTTTAACAAACTATCATTAAAATTTTGACACAGTTCACTATGTGTTACGAGGGAGGAGTGCAGAGAAAGGGACAGCCAGGTGTTAGAGAAGCAGGTGCACAAGTGCCGACAAAGTTATTGATTCATTAACCTGTGCTGTGCCATCTCCATCCTTTCTCGCACACCTGGCTGTCCCTTTCTCTGCACTCCTCCCTTGTAACAAATAGTGAACTATGTCAATATTTTAATGATAGTTTGTTAAACAACTTTTCAAATTTTAGGACATAAATTCTGCAAAAACCTCACAGAGTTGGTCTGATGTTTTGATTATGATCAGTGTTTCATTTGAGTATTTTAGAATTATTAGTTTTCAAGTTAAATTGCATTTCATCGGTCCGCTTTTGAGCCAAACGGACTATAGTTCCTGCTTGTTTGAAAAATACATACCATTTCTTTAGGATATTACCAAATGATAAATATATGTTTGTTTAAAACAGAACTTTTGCAATAACAGGGTATGTCATTGTAATTACTAATGCAGAAGCCATCTAAGGGAGTGTATTTTCATACACTGGTATATTGTCTTATAGTGGAATTGTGAGATATCATTGTGCATTGGTTGGCTATTTTGTAAAGTACAAGAATGTATGTGAATTGTGTTGCTTGTCTTTGAATCTCCATGCATTGCAGGGCTCTGTTCCGCTGTGATCTTCGTTCTAAGATTATCCAAATTCCCTTATTTAACATTTGTGTATCATATCAGTTTGCTTGGTGATGAGGTGTTCTGTTTTAAGGGTTTCCTTTTTAATTTCTTTTATTGATTCCAACTCCAAATTTAAAGAGATGGAAACATATTTCATTAAAACTCACAGAATGTCCCCCTGTGGGTCTGTCATCTTAATTTAATAACAAATCCTTAAATGAGTTAATAATAAAAGAATTCACTCATTGACTAGACATTAATACCATTGTTTCATTCTCATTATTTATGTTTTCATTTCAGTTCTTGTCTCACAGAAAACCATCAGTACTTGTGTACAATCTGTTGTTCAATGTTCTTTTTGACCAGTGGACCTGAATGGCTAAAGATTACAAATCAGTAAACTTATTAAGGCTGAGAAACAAGCTAAGATTTTCGTTGGAAGCTGATCCAGGGTAACATATTAGCCGGAAGTTGACCTGAATCACGTTCCAGGTACTACTAAACATCAGATAGGGAAAATCACACGTGTTCTGTTGAAGTGTGTGCTTATGATCAACAGTTTTTTGCATTGTGGAAGATGGAGTGATCCCTATGAGAGTAGTTGTCAGTGTCATTGCCCTGTAGAATTTTTCCTCCTGATACCTCTTTGGGGGAAATGTGCCTCGCATGTAAAATCTTCACATTCCAAGGTAACAAGGTTAGCAACAGAAGTGCCTCAGAACGGGTGGTATCATTCCTTGTTTGCCTTCAAAGGCGACAAAATGGATAAAGTGATCAGATTGATTCATTCTCAGCATCTAATCAGATCAGCATGTCTGGTGTGAACAGAATTGTGTGAGTGTTTGAGTTGTATAGTGTTGTATGTGTGCTGACAAGGCAATTGTACATTTTGATGTTTTGTGATTGTTCATTTCGTCCGGTTTTCATACTTTTGCAGGAACCATAGAAGTCAAATGTATAAAAAGTCTTTGGTCCAGCAGAAATTTGATTTATATTTGTTTGTCCTGAAATAAATGGCGTCTTATCTGTTTCTTGTTCTTGGGGATCACATGCGTCTTTATCACTGATCATTGGATTGTCTGGTCCAGGCATCATTATTTACATTCTGTGTGAATACACATACCATACATGCATTCACTCACTCGCACAGTATCTGCTTTTTGTTTATCGTTGACCCGTGAAGGTCCGGGTTAGAATATTGATCTTCAGTAACCCATGCTTGTTGTAATAGGCGACAAACAGGATCGGGTGGTCAGGCTTGCTGACTTGGTTGCCACATGTCATCGGTTCCCAATTGTGCAGATCGATGCTCATGCTGTTGATCACTGGATTGTCTGGTCCATACTCGATTATTTACAGACTGCCGCCATATAGCTGGACTATTGCTGAGTGTGGCGTAAAACTCAACTCACTCACACATACGTACATTCATGCATGCGTCAAACTCACCCGCACACTCACCCTTCTACCCGCACATTCTATCCCGTCTATCCTCACACCCTACCTACACCCACACACTCACACTCACCCACACTTCTATCCTCACACCCACCTACACTCACACTCACACACCCACACTTTACAGACCCACCCACACTCACACTCACCCACACTTTACAGACCACCGGTGTATAGCTGGAATATTGCTGAGTGCGGCGTAAAACTACTCGCGCATTTGTTTATTGTTTAACGCCACATTCGGCATTATTCCACCTATATGGCAGCGGTCTCATCAGACAATCCAGTGATTAACATCATGAGCGTCAATCTATGCAATTCGGATACCATGACATGAGTCAACGATGACGTGTCAACCACGTCAGCGAGCCTGACCACCTGATCCCGTTAGTCGCCTTTTACAAACACGGGTTGCTGAAGATCAATTCTAACACGGATCTTCACTGGTCCATATACAAAAGGAAAAAAAGAAATCACTGGTTGATTTTAGTGTGCAGGAAGTGACGTAAGTAATGCACATCCAAACACATGATGGCCGGCGACACTGTCCCACATCAAGACCTCCCATATTAACATGATCACTCAGATCGGGGGTTTCAGAAACCAGCACAGATTTCCAGATGCGGGCCGGAATGAGAGAACTGTCGGAGAACACACCTCATTTGGCGTGTCCGACATTAAAGAACTGATGACAAAATGGAGGCTGCTGACCCACTCCGCCTGCAGTACTCGTGCAGGCTGTTACAGAGTCTGGTGGTGGTGGCTGTCAACCATTGTTCACGCGTGTTGCGTCCTATGTGCTGTACATAATAACTGTTTATATAAATCAGCTTCACGAAACAGTTTAAATCCATTGTTTCTGCTGGTTGTAAATATTGAAATTACTGAATGTTACTAATTTCCATGAATTTGCTCATAGAGTCCACGACACGCATGAATGTCCCTAATAGGATTATGTTAATCACTCAAATGTTCATTAGCGTGGTGAGATAGTTCTAGTTGTATTTCACATGTTGGATGTGCATTGTCATGACCGTACGTTGTGTCCGGTCCTCGGTATAAGCAACAACAACAATGCCCATTGTGACTGCTTTGTACCGAATGCTCCTGTAACTGATCTCCGGTATAACAGGAACTTACTATACTCGGTAATATAGACTAACATCTAGTCACTGACTGAACATACTGTAGATAATATCACTGTTCATAACAAATGATCATAAAATGTAATGCAAACGAGCCCAGAGACTTAAACTGTGGCTATCTAGACTTGCCACATAATCTAGATATATTTGTTTCAGGGTCTGTGTGGTGAGTAATGTGCACTGCATTCATCACCCTAAATATATACTCAGCAGCAAAAATAACGTCAATACGAATTCAAAATTAGATAGGCACTGTAATAAAATTATTACAGAAATGTACATAATAAGCGGATCAAAGATATTTTTTGTGTACAATATCTTGACACATCAATGAATAACTCAGCACAATTTCAAGACATTACGTGAACATTTGCAGTCCATTCAGACTCTTGACTTCAGTATCTAGTGCGACCACCACGAGCGGCAATAACTGCAGCTCAGCGCCTATGCATGTAGTACACCAATCGATTGATGAAGTCCATTGGCACCTGGAACCACACTCTGAGAAAGGCCTGGCGCAATAAATCGGCTGTGTTCGGCCTTGGTATGACATTATTCAGTCTCCTCTGAATTTCATTCGAAGATATTGGGTTTAAATCAGGATTTAAGGGCTAGCCACAGCATAATGTTGACATCGTTCTGCTTTAGTAAGTCCCGTGTAGCTCTGGTAGTATGGGCCCGGGCGTTATCATGCTGGAAAATGTTGTTCCGGTGACGTGCGAAATGTGGTGTGACGTGGGGTCTGAGAGCTTGGTCGATTTAGCGCACTGCTGTGATGCCGCCTCCTCTCCCTGGACCAAAGTTCTGGAACAACACAGGACCCACTCTCTGGTTCAGGCCTATTCCACCCCATGCCATGATGCTTGCACCTCCCCATGAATCTCTTTCCATAACACATTGGTCTGAGTAACGCTGGCCACGTCGCCATATTCTTGTTCTGCCATCTGCAGTTGATACGCAGTACCGACTCTCATCTGTGAACAGAACAGTTCTCCATTGCCTGTATCGCCAGTTTTGTGTTGTAGGGCAAACTGTAGACGTTCACGCCGATGACGAGGGGTGAGGATAGGTCTACGGTAATGGACGTTCCCGCTGTTAAGACGTCGGCGTACTGTATCAGTACTGATTGGTCTTCCCACTGTCTGGCGTGCTGTTTCGGATGCCTGCATGAAGGGATTCTGTTCATGCTGTCGCACAACATGGCGGTCTTGTCGTCACCCTTGGTCTGCCAGTACGGGAGCGATCATTTGTGGTGTTGGCGGCCCGGAAACGTTGCTGCAATCTGTAGATGGTCCGAACGTTGACCTGGTTTGTTGTTGGTCCGGGTTATAATATTGATCTTCAGTAACCTATGCTTGTCGTAAGAGGCGACTAACGGGATCGGGTGGTCAGACTCGCTAACTTGGTTGACACATGTCATCGGTTCCCAATTGTGCAGATCGATGCTCATGCTGTTGATCACTGGATTGTCTGGTCCATACTCGATTATTTACAGACTGCCGCCATATAGCTGGACTATTGCTGAGTGCGGCGTAAAACTCAACTCACTCACAAATACGTACATTCATGCATGCGTCAAACTCACCCGCACACTCACCCTTCTATCCTCACACCCACCTACACTCACACTCACCCACACTTCTATCCTCACACCCACCTACACACACACTCACCCTTCTATCCTCACACCCACCTTCACTCACACTCACCCACACTTCTATCCTCACACCCACCCACACACCCTTCTACCCTCACACCCACCACACTCACCCACACACTCCTCACACCCTTCTATCCTCACACCCACCCTTCACACTCACACCACTACACTCACACCCACCCACACACTCACCCTTCTATCCTCACACCCACCTACACTCACACCCACCCACACACTCACCCTTCTATCCTCACACACCCCCTACACTCACACCCACCCACCCAGACCAACACCCACCCCACCCCCGTACTAAGAGATATATAGTCTCCTCCTAAACATACAAGAGCGGCAAGAGGTTTAACCCTTGCTGTGTGTTGCATCCTAAGCACAGCCTGCTGAACGGCAGGCAGCAGCGAGAACGCAGAGTCTAGCTGATTCAACTCCATGAGAAAATTGTAACGCAAATCTGAATCTCATCCTCCATTGAGTGGGAGTCACAGAACGTACATAACCGGTGTTCCAGAGGTGTGACGCTTCGCTGTTTTGTGACTATTATAGAGCGTAGATTGCATTAACGCCTACTGGGGTGATGTGTAGAGTGTGTCCTCATGCTATATTTGATTGTAAGTGAACTATTGCATTACTTTGAAAATGCTACGCTGTTTTGTGACTATTATAGAGGTGAGGTGAAATGGGGTTTAACGTCGTACTTAAGAATATTTCGCTCATATGACGACGTGCATGCGTGTGTATGTGTAGTTGCTTGTACTAGCCCAGTCTTAAGCTGGTTTTATAGTGCTAGCCCACTGAGATACCATGCCGCAGTTTAGCATGAATACCCCACTCAGACAGATTATACTGACTCCGAGCCGACCAGTCCTTGTTGTACCCAGTAATGCCGAGCGCCAGACAGACTATAATAGAGTGATATGGTGATGGGTCGAGTATGTCGGGTACCTATATTTGATCGTAAGTGAACAATTGTGAACATCGTGGTATGTACCGTGTGTAACGAATCCACATGTGATGTTTACCTTCTCGTATATGTGATAAATGATTGTGAACATGTTTTCATAATTAATTGTTCATATTTTTATCATGACTGCTTATGTACTATGATTCAGTGACTGTATAGTAAACTCGTCGTTTATCACTCAGGTTTTGTGTGCGAGTTGGTTCCCCAATATACTCGCGTTGTTAATATACTGAACAACATTAGAAACGCACCACACTAAAATGCACCGACGATGCTCAGATATCATGGCTACATTTCAGTCTGACGGGGATATTTCGTATTATATGGGTGGTGCGTTTCTAATGTTGTTCAGTATATATTGGATAAAGGTGGATGGAGGATGAAGGTCTATGAAAACTAAACATATGTTGTTCCACATGGGCAATACAACTGTGCCAAGTCTGTTGTCGGTATTGATGACTGTGTCTGCAGTGGATGACTGTGGCTTGGCGATAATTGAACAGCCTCTGTATTAATCGTATTTGACACTCTCAGATTTAACCTTGCCCCAAACTGAAGATAGAATTGCCTGGCAAACACTTCTATTTATAACCTAAGGTAGCCCTCAGCGACAGCGGAAGCCTACGTCCTGCAGAGGAAGGGGTTGACCTCGCGGGAGAGGATGTTGTGAATATTCAGCAACCAACTGAGTGTATCCGAATCATTCTGGCACCCCACGTAACACGGGGAAATATTGACACGTCCCATCAGTGTTGTTTTCTTCACTTCCAAACGTTGGACGAGATCGCTTCATGACTATGTTTCTAGGACCACACTGCACGTGTTGGACGAGATCGCTTCATGACTATGTTTCTAGGACCACACTGCACGTGTTGGACGAGATCGCTTCATGACTATGTTTCTAGGACCACACTGCACGTGTTGGACGAGATCGCTTCATGACTATGTTTCTAGGACCACACTGCACGTGTTGGACGAGATCGCTTCATGATTATGTTTCTAGGACCACACTGCACGTGTTGGACGAGATCGCTTCATGACTATGTTTCTAGGACCACACTGCACGTGTTGGACGAGATCGCTTCATGACTATGTTTCTAGGACCACACTGCACGTGTTGGACGAGATCACTTCATGACTATGTTTCTAGGACCACACTGCACGTGTTGGACGAGATCGCTTCATGACTATGTTTCTAGGACCACACTGCAGGTGTTGGACGAGATCGCTTCATGACTATGTTTCTAGGACCACACTGCAGGTGTTGGACGAGATCGCTTCATGACTATGTTTCTAGGACCACACTGCACGTGTTGGACGAGATCGCTTCATGACTATGTTTCTAGGACCACACTGCACGTGTTGGACGAGATCACACGACTATGTTTCTAGGACCACACTGCACGTGTTGGACGACATCCCTTCATGACTATGTTTCTAGGACCACACTGCACGTGTTGGACGAGATCGCTTCATGACTATGTTTCTAGGACCACACTGCACGTGTTGGACGAGATCGCTTCAAGACTATGTTTTAGGACCACACTGCACGTGTTGGACGAGATCGCTTCATGATTATGTTTTAGGACCACACTGCACGTGTTCGCTTCATGACTATGTTTCTAGGACCACACTGCACGTGTTGGACGAGATCGCTTCATGACTATGTTTCTAGGACCACACTGCACGTGTTGGACGAGATCGCTTCATGACTATGTTTCTAGGACCACACTGCACGTGTTGGACGAGATCCCTTCATGACTATGTTTCTAGGACCACACTGCACGTGTTGGACGAGATCCCTTCATGACTATGTTTCTAGGACCACACTGCACGTGTTGGACGAGATCGCTTCATGACTATGTTTCTAGGACCACACTGCACGTGTTGGACGAGATCGCTTCATGACTATGTTTCTAGGACCACACTGCACGTGTTGGACGAGATCGCTTCATGACTATGTTTTCTTCATGACTAGGACCACACTGCGTGTTGGACGAGATCGCTTCATGACTATGTTTCTAGGACCACACTGCACGTGTTGGACGAGATCGCTTCATGACTATGTTTCTAGGACCACACTGCACGTGTTGGACGACATCCCTTCATGACTATGTTTCTAGGACCACACTGCACGTGTTGGACGAGATCCCGTCATGACTATGTTTCTAGGACCACATTGCACGTGTTGGACGAGATCGCTTCATGACTATGTTTCTAAGACCACACTGCACGTGTTGGACGACATCTCTTCATGACTATGTTTCTAGGACCACAGAGCACGTGTTGGACGAGATCGCTTCATGATTATGTTTCTAGGACCACACTGCACGTGTTGGACGAGATCGCTTCATGATTATGTTTCTAGGACCACACTGCACGTGTTGGACGAGATCGCTTCATGACTATGTTTCTAGGACCACACTGCACGTGTTGGACGAGATCGCTTCATGATTATGTTTCTAGGACCACACTGCACGTGTTGGACGAGATCGCTTCATGACCATGTTTCTAGGACCACAGAGCACGTGTTGGACGAGATCGCTTCATGATTATGTTTCTAGGACCACACTGCACGTGTTGGACGAGATCGCTTCATGACCATGTTTCTAGGACCACAGAGCACGTGTTGGACGAGATCGCTTCATGACTATGTTTCTAGGACCACACTGCACGTGTTTGTGTTGCACCACCAACTGTGACCTTGTCATTTAACAGAAATACGATTCACTGATAACACAATCTGTCTTGAAGAGAAAACATACTGTCAATTAAAAAGCAACTTCCTTTATATCTTTGTCAGATGAAATGATGTGTTTGAGTGTATCACACCTGTCATCATTGACAGCGACTATTTCCATCATCGGCACCCCCTCTCCCTCTCCCACGACGACCTCCCCGTGGTTCACGGCCCAGGGCTGCACCTCCCCCCGGGCCTGGGTGCCGAACACAACAGTTCCTAGGAGACAGAACCCCCCACACACGTAGAAGACGTTCCGCCATTCCTCCTGAGTTTTCTGTTGGGAGGGAAAGAACACACTGAGCAATTAGATGTCACCGTGTAGACAACACGGTACAACATTGGGTCGGCAGTTTCGATCACACGCAACATCAGCAAGTTTTAATGATCCTATCAATATAACTTGTATGAACTTGAAACAAAATTAAAAAATATAACACCATTTAGTTTTCTCAGCAGTCATTCATTTAAAGTGGAATTTACTTTTGGCATTGCATCCGACGTAATAATGATTTTTCAGTACCAATAGAACCATGCTAATTTTCTACAGCATAGAATAGAACTTGTGATATCTCACGCCAGTTCCTTTTAATACTTGTACCCATGTTCATGTACTTTGTTTCCATAAATCGAAAAACTCGTATTTAGTAACGTACCACCTGGGTTTATCCAAGATCGAAGTTTAAGCAAGGGAAGCGTTTAATAACCAATAAGATCCTACACAGACCCGGAAACAGCACAGCCAAGCAATAGGCCAAATGACGGGTTTTCCGGTTTTTGTTTCGTCTCTATCTAATTGACTGCAGCTTGCCTATGGCATGAAATCTTTGCCTGAGAATTCAGTGATTGACATTGTGACAAATATACCAATCAGAGTAGGATTACAAGTTATTAGCCACGTCCCCTCACTCATAAAGTCTCCCAGACGAAGAGCTAGTTGGGGACACTCTGATGGTAGGAGAAAAATCATAGGAAATATAGTCATATAACAATATTATCTTCAATAGCACTACATACATTTCTCTGAACCACATTGGAACGTAACTTATAAAATTAATGTATTTATTCCAGTATAATACATGACATTATAAAATGAACAGATCACATCACTGTCATCTGGAATAGCACTACATCAACTGTCTCAGCATATTTTATTTTAATCAACTTGAAAGTGAAATAGTTTTTATAAATAACTGGAGAACAGGACGTTTTTATAACAGTTTAGGCAAATAACTGGACAACAGGATGTTTTTATTACTGAAGATTATTTGAAGACGTAAGTGTTGAATTAGATTTTACAAATAACTGGAGAACAGGATGTTTTATCACTGAAGATGAAAGTGAAATAGTATTTATAAAATACAGCATAAACAAAGTAAACAAACGGAGAACAGGATGTTTTATGATAGTTATTTTTCCGATGACTTTTTTCTCCAATCACCTACATTCTAGCCGGATGACCCTACGGGTGCGTTTGTATTTTGTTCCGTGTGGGTTAACGAATGTCACACTTACATTAGGGGTGAAAGCTCCGGCGATGAGCGGTGCCACCATTCCTGGCAATGTGGAGACAGTGCTGGAGACACCTACCAGTATACCAGCATATCTGAAAGTTGACAGGAATCTTTCAATTTCCTAGGTAAGGTTACGCGTTGTCTGTTCTTTATGTAGAGAAAAATGGAATCTTGTGTCGAGAGACAGTGTGTCAGTGATTGTTCTTAAAGGGGCACTGATCCAGAGCGATTAATGGTTCGCGCAAACAATCGCCCAGCTACCAGGTGGTCAGTTCCTGCTCCTTCGACCGTGACAGACACGGGGACTGGGCAGCTGTCCACCTTGGCAGAATTTCTTCAACCTAAACAATGGGACAATAAGAACTGCGGATGTCTATCACATGCCCTTATTTCAAATATCCCTGGTAGTTCTTGTCTTATTGTAATAAAGTATCCCAGCAGTGTAAGCTTTGTCGGAGTTTCTGATGCGTGGATGGCATGCTGACCGATCCATCTTGATTCTAGTTATGTTTTTTACCTGGATATTAATCATAACTTCTTTGTGTGGCATTGTAAGAAGTTAGAGAGACAGATGAGGACAAACGTTATGGATGAATAAAGGCGTTGTTATCCAGCAAGTTTGTTCTTATCTCATACTAATCATGTCACGTGATACTGTGGTGTCTATTGACCTAGGATAATAAAAACACACGTCTCATTTATATGAATCCGTAAACTAAATCAACCTCACTTTTTCACTGCTAGGAAAATCTTAAAATTTACTTCGGGTAATAGGCATATACAGTTTTGAACTTTAGTACACAGCAAATGCTTACATGCATTATTTCTTATGAAACAATGAAGCTCCGTTCGTATCCATAAAACAGTGTCTACCCCTAAGTGGTTTTAGGCAATTAAGATTGCATGCAATACAGCGATTACTGCTCTCTTGCTAACCGATGGTTGGTGGTATAACCCCACCCGACCTTGTTTCTCATCATTCACTTGGTGGTCAGTTAATGAGTTTATAACAGGTATAATTAGTGGTAACACCACTCAGATTACCCGACAAAGGTTCCCATTTAGCACTTCTCGTGTCTGGAGTAAATATTCAGCATTATTAATTAAGATCTGGTATGACAAATGTATTACATGTTATGTATGTACGAGGAGATATGGGATGGTTCGACTGTCAGTTTAAACTGTATCCGGATGCTACCCGACTGTGGTGTAGGTCACAGTGAATACCCACGACTAGACTGACCTACAGAAATCACCAGTGGTCACTTACAAGAGGAAAGTCCCGGGAGAAGAAGCTACAACGTATCTACAGTGAACTTGAGCTGATAGACCTGCTAAATACCACGGACAAATCATCTACATGGGTTTTAAATAACATTTTACCCAGACTTGTCTCTATTGATCAACAACGTTGGAAGGACAGCGTCCAGTCAACACCAAAACTGAGAACTTTTAAACTTTTTAAGACTGAATTGGACACTGAGGGTTACACTCGACTTCCAAGATACCAGCAAGGGATACTTGCTTCCTTAAGATGTGGCTCCCTAAAACTCGAGATAGAAACGGGCCGATACTGCTCCCGTCTTATTCCCGCTTCACAATGCTACTGCAAACACTGTACATACCAAGTTGAAGACGAACACACACTTCCTCTTACACTGTCCCTTTTATGACGATATCCGTACTTTTTATTTTAAGAATATGTTTTATAATACTCCTGTAGATACTACCATTATAAATAACCATTGTAATTTGCCACGTTTAGGAAGCATGTGCCTCAAAATGTTTATGCGTAGGAAATTACTTTATGTATAATATAACAACAGACTTAATATTTTATCTTTATATGTGCATTTCATCACTTAAATTCCTTATATTTATATTTTTATATTGTGCCTATGTTTATAATAATATGTAACATTTTATCTCTTTTTCCATAGTTATAAAGTTACACTAATTTTGTAAAATACAGTTCTAACCCATTTGGGGGGCATTTGTACCTTTGCTTTTATAATAATCAAACTGCTGTATTTTAGCTCTTGCTGTACAAATGGTGAGACTTTAATAAACTATACTGTATTGTATTGTACTGTATTGTATTGTATTGTATTGTATTGTATTGTACTGTACTGTACTGTACTGTACTGTACTGTACTATACTGTATTGTATTGTATTGTATTGTATTGTAATATGCGCATATAGTGCAGCAAGAGGAAATATCAGCCGAGTAAATAAAACAAACATCGATTAAACCATTAACCAATAACACGCTGATTGATTAATTACTAGATTTACTAACGTATACTGAATACACCTTGTCGTAAAGTGCCTGTGTATAAACGTCTTTCCTTCAAAGGATTAACAGCCAATACGTTGATTGATTGCTCATTGTTGTCTAACGAACTTTCAAAAGAATGGTGGACATCATGCAAATAGTTGTCAGGTGCGCTGTCATGGTTGACAATGAGACTATACACCAATGTGAAAAACCGGAAACAGCCACGTGAGCAGTTAAGAAACCCTCACTAGTTATTACTTCTTTGAGTTGCATGTAGAAGCTTGGATCGACCCATCGACTGCAATAAAACAGTTTTCTATCAATAAAAATCGTTCCTGTGCATCACTAGTTTTAACGATTTATACAATATTTTTGCATATTAGACTGTTAAAAGACACATGACATGGAACAGGTTTCTTTGTCAGCTGCAGATGAATGGCATATCATACCTTTATGCTGATATTGATGGATACATTCCTCGATATTATTGCTATAACTTTAGTCGGATTTAATTTTTATATTTTGTACTTTTATTCATTTTACTTTTTATTCATTTGTTGTAGCATTCTGCAGAATCATTCCACTTCATTTTTTAGTCGTGCATTTCGATGAGACAGACAACATACACCAGATCGCACTTAGGGCGTGTGTGTGAAACATGACTCACGTTGGCAATAAATCAAATGTCTAGATATTACAGTCATGTTATAAATTCACTAAAAACAGATCGTGTACTTCTTACGAAGTTCCCAAATGCATACAAATATGATAATAAATTAATTAAGATTATAAGACAAAAATATAAAGACGTACATTGACTTCGGTTTTTTCAGTCCTACCATATATTTTACCACTGGCAGATGAAGTTAAACATCCAAATGGTTTCATTTGTTATCATAATAATGAAGATGTAAATATTATTGAGTAAAAAAGATTACATCATTTTTGATCAATGTCAAGATATACATATCATACTTATACTACCGATTGCGTTTGAAGGTGGCGCAGCAGAGATCGCCACCCAGTCAAGAATTCTGGGAAATCATCCGGGTACTCGCAGGGAAGAAACAATAACAAAAGCAGCAACCAGTCCCGGGGAACTGTACAGTGTCCCTTTAACACCACAGTCACCAACATACTGGGTATAGTATGCCGGCCTGGGATTTATTCTAACCCGGAATCCCAATCAGGAGTCACCTACCTTGGTGCGAAGTCGACGAAGTTGACGAGGTACCCTGCCGTTGACACCCCCATAAACCACATGGCTGTTGTAAGCAGAGCGATGGCGACATAGCGCCGTTCAGCACCCACGAACCCCGTCCCTATCAGACACGCACCTGCTCCCAGGAAGGCTGGAATTCCAGATAATCAAGAGATGGTAACATGCATACAGCCCTGGACAACAGTGTCGGGTCAACCTGTCGTCAGTATGTATACACCAATGTTACCGTGTATGTCTCTAACAACACTCACAGTGTGGACGCGATACATCATGCGTCATACATCATGATCACTGGTGTGTCATGCACTGACATCCTGTTACACTTCTTTGACAGTGATCACTGGTGCATCATGAACTGACATCCCGTTACACATCTTTGAAAGTGATCACTGGTGCATCATGCACTGACATCCCGTTACACATCTTTGACAGTGATCACTGGTGCATCATGCACTGACATCCTGTCACACATCTTTGACAGTGATCACTGGTACATCCTGACATTACACATCTTTGACAGTGATCACTGGTGCATCATGCACTGACATCCTGTCACACATCTTTGACAGTGATCACTGGTGCATCATGCACTGACATCCAGTGATCATGCCATGAGACGCTGGTGATCACTGTGTCACACATCTTTGACAGTGATCACTGGTGCATCATGAACTGACATCCTGTTGACATCCCGTTACACATCTTTGACAGCGATCACTGGTGCATCATGCACTGACATCCCACATGTCAGTGACCCTGGTGCATCTTTGACAGTCACACATCACTGGTGTGAATCCGTATTAGTGCGTGGATTCACTGTTGAACGTGCTTTGCTTGACAGTTACAATAAAGACATACATGTATAGTAGAAGCATTCTATATATTCTATACCAATCAACCACCAATTTTGTTTAGCAATGCCAAATACCATTAGCCTAGAAAATGTTTCATCTTTTAACTTTGTTAAGTTGCTTTTTCATTGGAAACCATATGAGTGAGTGAGTGTTATCCCGCACTAAAAATTGTATATTTTTTGTTTATTGTTTAACGCCACACTCTTCATTATTAGAGCTATATGGCTGGACCAGACAATCCAGTGATCAACAACATCGATCTACCAAGTCAGCGAGTCTGACCACCCGATCCCAGTTGTCGCCTCTTACGACAAGCATTTGTTACTGTGAAGATCAATTCTAACCCGGATCATCACGGGCAAAACTATATGAATGTATAAGTGACACTGACCGACAGTTTGGAAGATCCTCCGTGTGGCCGTAGTGCTGAGGTATTTCCTTGACCGCAAGTAGTCAGCCAACTGACCAGCTATCACAGAGGACACGGCCTGGCTAGCAAAAGCGATGGATGTCAGAAGCCCGTTCTTCAAAGACGAAGAAATATACAGTTTATTATATATTGATTTACGTCGAGCTCAGCAATATTCCAGCATATTCCAGCAGCATGACGACGGCCTGTACATAATACAGTGATTGATATCATCACATCTGATCGACGTCTACGACAATCATAGAAGTCGGCGAGCATAACCCCTAGAACCTCTAAGTAGCACTCTACCAGTAGCACCTGCTGCGTTAGGCGAGTTCTAACCCGGCATTCAAATGGGCGTTGGAGCGTGAATAGGTTTATCCTGCTCTTTTAATTATTTCATTTACATGGTGTGATTTCACCACTTTGATAAACCAATGAGGCCTGGCATGGTGATGATGAACCAAGAAAACAATAGTCAGGTTTTTGAACCTATACACATTGTGCATTTTTTCCTTGCAGGTCAAAGGGAGGCAACCGTTTGCCGAACTGCGCGACCTACACGACTTGGCCCATGTCATCTTTGGGGCCATCTTTTCCAATGACATATTTATCTCATAGAAACTCTCAACGTTGATGCAATAATATGTTATTTAGAAAACAAACAAACAATCAAATGTTCTGTACCTGAAAAAGTCACAAAGTATCATTTGATGCATATATACAATTTTCAAATGTTTTCTCTCATTAATTGTATATTTTCTATTAATCATACAACGCGACGTGAAGTGAGAGTGTTTGGTGTCAGACCTGTGTGGGGACTGGAAAGACACAGCTCTTTCAGCTGCCATGTTGACAATTGTTCCCAAACATTTAGTCAATGCAGAAGTTTTCTAAATAATAACATCACTACTACAGGTTTAGCAATGCTACTTCCACGGTATATTGCAGAGAAAATGTCACATAAGATGGGATACTGTAGTCGTATACTCTGTGTTCACGTTTCAGATGTAGTCGTTGTTTGAAGTCGTTGTGCAAGATGTCGTCGTTGGAAATATAGCCGTTGTTGTAAATGTAGCCGTTGTTGGATATGTTTGATCATGCCATTATATGCATCGTATACAAGTGACACTGTACGTACCTCAGCAATGTCGAAACTCAGCACTTCTTTCAGATACGTCGGTGTGATGGTTGTCAGTGTATATGCCGTCCAGTTGAAGCACAGTTGTGCGGTGAGACATGCCCACGTCGCTGGGGACGTCAACATTGCCACCCACGGCGTTGGCGGACTCTGTCACAGGTACAACACCATCAACAGCGAGATACTATCATACAAATGTCCAAACAATAGGGAGCATGGTGCTATAGTAACACTGAACTATTTCCAAATTAAAATTTACGTGTGTACCAGTGTGAATACACCTCTTGCTTATTAATCCGAAATATTACACGTTTATCACGATCCAAATATAAGTACTCTTATCCCAGTACGGTAGTGGTTGCATCACGAGCAACTTCAGTTCTATAAGATGAAAGAGACTTCATATAATATTGATAAAATTAATCTTTGCAGATAATCTTAAGAATTTACCTAATATGATACCCGTGAAGAACTGGTCTTCAGCAACTCATGCTTGTCGTATGAGGCGACTAACGGGATCGAATGGTCATTTTCGCTGACCCATGACATCGTATACCAGTTGCGTAGGTTGATGCTCACGATGTTGATCACTGGATTGTCTGGTCCAGACTCGATAATATTCAGATCACCGCCATATCGGTGGAATATTGCAGAGTGCGGCGTAAAACAACATTAACGTTCTGCTACATGGACAGGTTAGATTTACTTAGAATATTGTACTTTAACAGAGTATATAGAAATAAGCATGTGAAATAAAAGTGTTAAGATCCCACTATCATAGCTTACCTTGGTGTCTTTCTCCCCGATGCTCCCTGTGATGTAGTTTTTCTCCTGCTCTGAGATCCGAGGATGCTGAGACGGTGTGCTAGCGACGGTACAGAACCACATCCCACACCATATGACGGTTATTCCACCTGCAGAGTATATACAGTGTATGTACGTGAACCATATCCCATACCATATGACGGTTATTCCACCTGCAGGGAGTATACAGTGTATGTACGTGAACCACACCCCACACCATATGACGGTTATTCCACCTGCAGAGTATATACAGTGTATGTACGTGAACCACACCCCACACCATATGAAGGTTATTCCACCTGCAGAGTATATACAGTGTATGTACGTGAACCACACCCCACACCATATGACGGTTATTCCACCTGCAGGGAGTATACAGTGTATGTACGTGAACCACACCCCACACCATATGAAGGTTATTCCACCTGCAGGGTATACAGTGTATGTACGTGAACCACACCCCACACCATATGACGGTTATTCCACCTGCAGAGTATATACAGTGTATGTACGTGAACCACACCCCACACCATATGACGGTTATTCCACCTGCAGGGAGTATACAGTGTATGTACGTGAACCACACCCACACCATATGACGGTTATTCCACCTGCAGGGAGTATACAGTGTATGTACGTGAACCACACCCCACACCATATGACGGTTATTCCACCTGCAGGGTGTATACAGTGTATGTATGTGAACCACACCCCACACCATATGACGGTTATTCCACCTGCAGAGTATATACAGTGTATGTACGTGAACCACACCCCACACCATATGACGGTTATTCCACCTGCAGGGAGTATACAGTGTATGTACGTGAACCACACCCCACACCATATGACGGTTATTCCACCTGCAGGGGTATACACAGTGTATGTACGTGAACCACACCCCACACCATATGACGGTTATTCCACCTGCAGGGGTATACAGTGTATGTACGTGAACCACACCCACACCATATGACGGTTATTCCACCTGCAGGGAGTATACAGTGTATGTACGTGAACCACACCCACACCATATGACGGTTATTCCACCTGCAGGGAGTATACAGTGTATGTACGTGAACCACACCCCACACCATATGACGGTTATTCCACCTGCAGGGAGTATACAGTGTATGTACGTGAACCACACACCACACCATATGACGGTTATTCCACCTGCAGAGTATATACAGTGTATGTACGTGAACCACACACCACACCATATGACGGTTATTCCACCTGCAGGGTGTATACAGTGTATGTACGTGAACCACACCATATGACACACCATATGACGGTTATTCCACCTGCAGGGTGTATACAGTGTATGTACGTGAACCACACCCCACACCATATGACGGTTATTCCACCTGCAGAGTATATACAGTGTATGTACGTGAACCACACCCCACACCATATGACGGTTATTCCACCTGCAGGGAGTATACAGTGTATGAACCACCCAACACCATATGACGGTTATTCCACCAGGGGTGTATACAGTGTATGTACGTGAACCCCACACACCATATGACGGTTATTCCACCTGCAGGGAGTATACAGTGTATGTACGTGAACCACACACCACACCATATGACGGTTATTCCACCTGCAGGGGTATACAGTGTATGTACGTGAACCACACCCCACACCATATGACGGTTATTCCACCTGCAGGGTGTATACAGTGTATGTACGTGAACCACACCCCACACCATATGACGGTTATTCCACCTGCAGGGAGTATACAGTGTATGTACGTGAACCACACCCCACCATATGACGGTTATTCCACCTGCAGGGAGTATACAGTGTATGGTGAACCCACCACACCATATGACGGTTATTCCACCTGCAGGGAGTATACAGTGTATGTACGTGAACCACACACCCACACCATATGACGGTTATTCCACCTGCACGGGGAGTATACAGTGTATGTACGTGAACCACACCCCACACCATATGACGGTTATTCCACCTGCAGGGTGTATACAGTGTATGTACGTGAACCACACCCACACCATATGACGGTTATTCCACCTGCAGGGTGTATACAGTGTATGTACGTGAACCACACCCACACCATATGACGGTTATTCCACCTGCAGGGTGTATACAGTGTATGTACGTGAACCACACCCCACACCATATGACGGTTATTCCACCTGCAGGGTGTATACAGTGTATGTACGTGAACCACACCCCACACCATATGACGGTTATTCCACCTGCAGGGATGTATACAGTGTATGTACGTGAACCACACCCCACACCATATGACGGTTATTCCACCTGCAGGGGTATACGGTGTATACAGTGTATGTATGTACGTGAACCACACCCCACACCATATGACGGTTATTCCACCCATGTACGTGAACCACACCTGCATGACGGTATTCCACCTGCAGGGTATACAGTGTATGTACGTGAACCACACCCCACACCATATGACGGTTATTCCACCTGCAGGGTGCACACCATATACGGTGTATGTACGTGAACCACACCCACACCATATGACGGTTATTCCACCTGCAGGGTGTATACAGTGTATGTACGTGAACCACACCCCACACCATATGACGGTTATTCCACCTGCAGGGTGTATACAGTGTATGTACGTGAACCACACCCCACACCATATGACGGTTATTCCACCTGCAGGGTGTATACAGTGTATGTACGTGAACCACACCCCACACCATATGACGGTTATTCCACCTGCAGGGTGTATACAGTGTATGTACGTGAACCACACCCCACACCATATGACGGTTATTCCACCAGAACTTGGTGTCAAGGTCGACGTCACTGCACTTTGAGGTCATGGGAAAGGTCATGAGGAAGGTCGGACGATAGTGAATTCCTTTTGTTCCTGACTGATGGCCCAGAGTTTTTGGCGCCGCAGAAATACTGCATATGCACAGCCGCCAATCGTGGAGCAGGTACGGTTTGGCGGGGGTTCAGTGATGGAGGTGCCTCTCACATGACTGTAAACTTGACCTTGTGACCAGACAAATTCTGAATGGGCAACGGAACATCACTGACATCTTAGACAATATCACTTTTCGATGACCATCCTTGGAACACACGGCCAGTGTTCATTGACGGCAGTGCTAGACCACAACCGTGCACGTTTATTGACGGCGATGCTTCCACAACGTGCACGTTTATTGACGGCGATGTGGTACCACAACGTGCACGTACTGAAGGTGATTTCTAACGTCCACCTTTTGCCCGTAGGGTATACCTCAACCCCAAGGAGCATGTTTTGGAAATAATAGATCGCAGAATACGCCATCGAGGCCCCCTAGTACAAAATCTCAATGCATTGGAACAAACCCTCCTTCAAGGATCGAACGCTATACCCCTCAACGTCAATTCAACGTCTGATACTCTCAAAGAGGAGGAGGGGTAGGGATGTCATTAGTGGTTAGATGAGGTTACACCAGATATTGACATTGTACTCTCCGTTATTGATACTTAAGTGATTTCTTGAGGGTTGTATGCCAGAATCCTTGATATGATCACATTGTTAACGTAACACCATAGTTCTTAGCACGACACAATGAGTCAATGTTGTCCCATGTTTACTCCTATGAATAAACTACATAAACTATATAGAATATGGGATGTGCCGATACATTCGTTCATGAGTATAATACAAGAGCCACACACACGTCGTTTTCAAGTGCAGCTATCTTCTACGCCATCTTATACATCATTCACCTTATGTACATTTTACATGAATGCACCAAATGTGATAGATCACATAAATGTTTTTTTTTGCCTTTTGTTTAGTCCTTTCTCAAATTAACAATTAAGTGAAATGACAAAAGAGTAGTATTCTTTTACCTGTTATGGTATAAAACATAGAGCCCCATCCATTGTCGAAACCGTACTGGCATAGATAATGGTCCCTGTGACATGACGAACACGGCAATACTTCCCAATCTTTGGACCTGTAATATAAACTCGGTTCAGCATAGAGGCCAGGAGGTCTGGGGACACGTGAAGTATTGCACAACGGTACTACTGCCAATGGGCATCGATGTTCTGGACGGTGTATGTGGCTATGAGCCGGTATGCTGTTGTCTGGGCGCGGTGTCTAGGGACAGCGAGGCCGGTAATAACGTGATCTTGGGCGCGGTTGATGTAGTTGTGGTACGTCAATGGGCAAACAGTAAACCGTCATTAGTCTGGATTATTAATATGGGGAAAAGTATATAGTTTATACGTTTATATTCATATAATGAATATGTTTGTATGATTATTTTGAGTCTTCGGGAGCAACCATACATTGATTTTAGATATGCACGTGCTTGGATCAAAGGCGAGCATCACGTGCTCTTGCTCTCTTCTTGCAGCTCGATAAATCAAGTGATTTCGTTATAGGGCCTGATCAACTGACAGCTGCTTAAAGATTGACGGCAATGCTAGACCACAACGTGCACGTTCATTGACGGCAGTGCTAGACCACAACCCGCACGTACTGAAGGTGATTTCTAACGTCAAGAGGAGGTAAACAACTCTACCTTTGCCCGCCAGGAGTACATACCCAAAGAGCATGTTTTGGAAATAATAGATCGCAGAATACGCCATCGAGGCCCCCTAGTACAAAATCTCAATGCATTGGAACAAACCCTCCATCAAGGATGGAACGCTATACCTCAACGTCCAATTCAACGTCTGATACTCTCAAAGAGGAGGAGGGGTAGGGATGTCATTGCGGTTAGCTGAGGTTACACCAGATATTGACATTGTACTCTCCTTTATTGATACTTAAGTGATTTCTTGAGGGTTGTATGCCAGAATCCTTGATATGATCACATTGTTTACGTACCGCCATAGTTCTTAGCACGACACAATGAGTCAATGTTGTCCCATGTTTACTCCTAAGAACAAACTACAGTTTTATATAAAATAGGGGATGTGCCGACACATTCAATCGTGAGTATAATACAAGACGCCACACACACACGTCGTTTTCAAGTGCAGCTATCTTCTACGCCATCTTATACATCATTCACCTTATGTACATTTACATGTATGTACCAAATGTTATAGATCACACAATTGTTTTGCCTGTTTGTTAAGTCCTTCTCAAATTAACAAAGTGCAATGACAAAAGAGTAGTATTCTTTTACCTGTTATATAAAACATAGAGCCCCATCCATTGTCGAAACCGTACTGGCACAGATACCCCGACATGACGAACACGGCAATACTCCCAATCTTTGGACCTGTAATATAAACTCGGTTCAGCACAGAGGCCAGGAGGTCTAGGGACACGTGAAGTATTGCACAATGGTACTACTGCCAATGGGCATCGATGTTCTGGACGGTTGAAACTTTACAACGGGGTTAGGTTGCAGGAAGTTTGGTGTTCTGGGAACTGATCGAAACCTGTACACTAGTACACTCAGAGGCAGATGTTTTGTGACACACATAAAACAGAGTTTCACTTATACTGCGGCGAATGATATGTTTATACATGGACAACAGTTCCATAATACAGTAACGATCAACAGTCAATAAGAACAGCGCACCTAGTATACCCCAGTAGGATCACAAACAAGTTCACATGGTAGACTGACTGACTGAGTTTGGTTTTACGCCGCTCTTAGCAATATTCCAGCAACATCACGGCGGGGGACACCAGAAATGGGCTTCACACATTGTACCCATGTGGGGATTCGAACCCGGGTTTTCGGCGTGACGAGCCAACGCTTTAACCATTAGGCTACCCCACCGCCCCTCACATGGTAGAGGCCGGGTATCTTCGGCTCATTGAAGCCATTATAGGTCGATGACAGTTCTAGGGAAGATGAGTCCATGTCCGAGGAAGGATTTGGTTGAGTTCCTGCAGCGTTGTTGGAGGATTTGGATGGTGTGGTAAACATAGCTCCATTTCACCCCAGACGTGTTCATTGGGTGACAAATCAGGGCATCTAGCAGGCCAGGGCAACATTAACATTGATTAAGATACTGTGTACAGCATGGGAAACGTGTGGTCTGAGCTTATAGTGTTGACACGTCACTCCAGGACTGTTCTGGTGCAGCAGAATGTGGTGTAGAGAACTTACAAGTACACTCACGTGTAGAGTCGTCCAACTGTTCTGGCATATGATGAAGCCATTTCCCCCGCTGTGATATTCTTGAATATTGCTAAAAGCGGTGTAAAACTACAGTCACTCACTCACCCACTCTGGCATATGTACCTCTGTTGCCAGGTATGGTACGGTCTGTAAAGGTTGCTACCTGGAACCTTTGTCGGAGTGTAATTTTCAAATCCATCATGCTAGCGTTAGTATCGGGCGGCCACTGCAAGGGCAGTCTATAAAATGACTTATACACTAAAAACGTCACCATGAACGTGTTTCTATGGACGGTGACTCGACAAACAACGTCATTCTGCGAGGCATCTGACTGAAACATAACTATAGCCCTCCATCATTGTCTCCGGACGGATTGATGAAAGAAATCAATAGAGGTTTGAATGATAGTTAGCAGTAGAGTATATACGAGTAATCCAAGTCTCAAATACACCTATCCACAACATTATCACTACTCATGCCTAATTCCAGCGGACCGCTAGTGGTCGTCGGGTCTTCAAGTCTTCACCAATATTACCTGAAAAGGACACAGCTATCAACTTTGTCCTCTCTAATGGCGGCGCCCACCTGCCCCACAAGGACTGCATAGTCAACATGTACACACCCTAGGGAAAAGGTAACAAAACACACTTACAGTCGTCAGTCATATTACAATACACAAATGATGTTCCTTGTATCATCAACAACTGAATATTACCCGGGGTATCTCCATTGTACTGAGCCAACTACCCTGACTATTTGAACCAGCTAAACCTACTTACGATGAACTGTATATCTCTAACAATGTGCAGGTTTAAGTACAATACTTCCTATGATCCTAAGTCTTTCATCTGGATGCAACCAAGCAGCATAATGCTGCAGGTACAGGTAGCTAATTATCCCCTGATGGTAAAGAGCTTCATCAGCCACCACGCGGGCATGTCTTCAACATTAGGGGATGGTGTTCCTTCCTTTGCCACACAAGAGACAGGCAGTGACGCTTTGACAGTTGACAAGTCATGGCTAAATGTCATTGTCCTTACTTTCATTGTCCCTGAATTTCGTCATGCAAGTCCTATTCTTGATGGTGTTAATAACACGTATCATAAAATCAAAATCATGACAAATACAATTAGACAGTCTGCAGCGACGAGGTGCCTGTATACCGTTACTTCATTAACTAAATGTCACCCGTTCTAAACGTCTGTCAGTTTGTGCTGTATGATTCACAGAGCGCGTGCACTTCTATCTAGAACGTATAGTCCGTTTGGCTCAAAAGCGGACCGATGAATTGCAATCTAACTCGAAAGCTAATAAACATAAAATACTCAATGAAACACTGATCATGATCAAAACGTCAGACCAACTCTGTGAGGTTTTTGCAGAATTTATGTCCTAAATATATAAAAAGTTGTTTAACTTGCTATCATGAAAATATTGAGACAGTTCACTATTTGTTACGAGGGAGGAGTGCAGAGAAAGGGACAGCCATGTGTGCGAGAAAGGGTGGAGACACCACAGCACAGATTAATGAATCAATAACTTTGTCGGCACTTGTGCACGTGCTTCTCTAACACCTGGCTGTCCCTTTCTCTGCACTCCTCCCTCGTACAAAATAATGAAATGTGTCAAAATTTTAATGATAGCAAGTTAAACAACTGTTTTAATTTTAGGACATACATTCTGCAAACGAATCACAGAGTTGGTCTGACGTTTTGATTATGATCAGCGTTTCACTGAGTGTTATATATTTATTAGGTTTCGAGTTAGATTGCAATTCATCGGTCCGATTTTGAGCCAAACGGACTATAGGTATGTAGAATGTAAACATCAGAACTTTCGGAGAGGATTGAAGATGAAATACAGCAACCAGCATGGGTTTTATAAGACAAGATGACGGCCCCCACGAAACATTTATCCTCTTTTCTTTGAAGTGAAATACACAGAAAACCTACATTGAAAGATGAACAGATGAGGAAATACGTTAACAGAAACTGTTGTCTTTCTACGATAACAAATTGCACAGTGCTATTTACCTGCGAAATGCCAACAAGCGCCCGCAGTACGTACACAAGGTATTTCGTTGTCCGGGCTCCGATTGGTAGAAGTAGAGAAGCTATGGAGCCAATCAGAATCCCGATAAACATGACGTACTTCCCTCCGTACCTTCCAACCAACCAGCCCCCTGGGATTTGTATCACTACGAAACCATAGAAATACGCGCTCAGCATTCCAGATTGTTCCCTCTTGGACCAGTAGAACTCAGCATGCTAGAAAATGGACACTGAGTGAGTGTTGTTTTAAGACGCATTAGATGAACACTCAGACTCAACATTAACTATGCGAAGGACTAGATACAAACAGTTTTGATTTTCTGTCAGAAGTGGCAGGAAACTGATTATATAATTAACGTTTAACCATTTGTATCCGGAGATATATTGAGCTGTTTCTGTTAATAAGGACACGATTCGACTAACTGTCGTTTCTTGAATAAGAATCGCCGAGAACAACAGGGGCACATTTTGAAACAATTTTGCCTGTAACTTCATATTTCGTATTGTTATATGCCCTACACAATCAATTGTTTAAGAGCAGAACTTTAATTTGTATTTAAATGAACACTTTTAATCGTTCATAAAAATTGAAAATATCTCTCTGAATTCTTAAATGCTAAAGGTACCTCATGGACTGCTGACGAACTGTTTGTAAGGTTGCTAGCGTTGCTGTCGGTGTCGTTGACCATGCAGACGATGGCCATGCTGAGGTTTGATCGACTCGACTCCAACATGATTCCCCCGAAACAACCCATCAGTGCCAAGATCCATCTCTGCGAACAACAGCTAGATCCTGTGTAGACGACACAGAAAGGATTGGTTCTATTTCCCAGTTGATAACAAAATCAATCACTGAGATGTATTATACTTATGTCAGCTCAATCGTCGTGGTCAAAGTTATCACCGGATTAAACACCACGGCCATATATGACATATTCTAAGATGCCAAATATCTTCTTTTTCTCATAATCCCTTCACTTTTAAAAAAAACTAAATATATCGTTACCAATATGTATTTTTTATATTTCTGCTGCTGGGTCAGCATGGCAATTTGTCATGAACACACCCTGGGTTGACAGACTGTCATGAACTCACCCTGGGTTGACAGACTGTCATGAACTCACCCTGGGTTGACAGACTGTCATGAACACACCCTGGGTTGACAGACTGTCATGAACTCACCCTGGGTTGACAGACTGTCATGAACTGACCCTGGGTTGACAGACTGTCATGAACTCACCCTGGGTTGACAGACTGTCATGTACTCACCCTTGGTTTACAGACTGTCATGTACTCACACTGGGTTGGCAGACTGTCATGAACTCACCCTTGGTTTACAGACTGTCATGTACTCACACTGGGTTGGCAGACTGTCATGAACTCACCCTGGGTTGACAGACTGTCATGTACTCACACTGGGTTGGCAGACTGTCATGAACTCACCCTGGGTTGACATCTGTACCCACCTTGAAGCCTAGTCCCGCCCCCCACGGGTGGAGGTGCTTGTGGCGTGTCCGTCACTGGAATCATCTGGTCAGTCTCGGGGAAGGCGCCATTACTACAGTATCCACGTTCCATCTCCCACACAGCACCGGACGTTGGGAAGCAGGACAGTCAGACCTGACAATAAAACGCAACTGATCATTGATGTTCCCTTCAGTAATAAGGGCTAGGTTTTTACTGTTGTTAACACGATCATGTAGTCCCTTCACCCTGTGCTGTGAATTACACGAGTATCAGGCGCTACCAATAGGACAGGGCGTACTTATCCTGGATGCTTCCCTTTATTAGCGCCAGCAATCTGACATCGTCAACACAATCATGTAGCCCCTTGACGTTGTGGTGGGAGTTACATGAGGGGTGGGTACTGTACGTTTATTACGAACAGTCTAGTGTCATCACTGATGGTCCGTTTTCGATTCCTATACTTTTAAACGCTTTTTGTCTGTTTCGTCTTTAGGAATGTGTTTCGGTGGGCAATAGAGTCAGGTTTTACATGTACAGCAGTTGTTGCTCTTTAAGTGAATGTGAAACCAACCCGACCGACAGTACGTACCTACACTCGCTGAATGCATACTTCGTATTGACTTGCGTCCATGCATTTGTCATTGTGTTAAAGCGCCCTACATCAGTGGCTTTCAGTGGTGAAAACACGAAGAGTTACAGTGCGCTGTGTTGCACCGATAGCCATGGGTCATACATGCATATGAACCACAAGGCTTAGTAACTCACTGATCTGTTCTGCACGATAATCAGGCCAAACTAGCACATGTCGCTATGCACCGCCCTAAGGTCATTTACCTGTGTCTAACACAGGATCACTAAAGTAAGTCACAATGATTTGATAAGTACCAACACTAGCGTTCAAAGCAGGATCACTAACATACGTCACACTGATTGGATAAGTATCACCAATAGTGGTCAACACAGGGTCACTAAAATACGTCACACTGATTGGATAAGTACCAACACTAGCGTTCAAGCAGGATCACTAAAATACGTCACACTGATTGGATAAGTATCACCAATAGTGTTCAAGCAGGATCACTAAAATACGTCACACTGATTGGATAAGTATCACCAATAGTGTTCAAGCAGGATCACTAAAATACGTTACACTGATTGGATAAGTACCAACACTAGCGTTCAAGCAGGATCATAAAATACGTCACACTGATTGGATAAGTATCACCAATAGTGTTCAAGCAGGATCACTAAAATACGTCACACTGATTGGATAAGTATCACCAATAGTGTTCAAGCAGGATCACTAAAATACGTCACACTGATTGGATAAGTATCACCAATAGTGTTCAAGCAGGTTCACTAAAATACGTTACACTGATTGGATAAGTATTACCAATAGTGTTCAAGCAGGATCACTAAAATACGTCACACTGATTGGATAAGTATCACCAATAGTGGTCAAGCAGGATCACTAAAATACGTCACACTGATTGGATAAGTATCACCAATAGTGGTCAAGCAGGATCACTAAAATACGTCACACTGATTGGATAAGTATCACCAATAGTGGTCAAGCAGGATCACTAAAATACGTCACACTGATTGGATAAGTATCACCAATAGTGGTCAAGCAGGATCACTAAAATACGTCACACTGATTGGATAAGTATCACCAATAGTGGTCAAGCAGGATCACTAAAATACGTCACACTGATTGGATAAGTATCACCAATAGTGGTCAAGCAGGATCACTAAAATACGTCACACTGATTGGATAAGTATCACCAATAGTGTTCAAGCAGGATCACTAAAATACGTCACACTGATTGGATAAGTATCACCAATAGTGTTCAAGCAGGAATCACTAAAATACGTCACACTGATTGGATAAGTATCACCAATAGTGTTCAAGCAGGATCACTAAAATACGTCACACTGATTGGATAAGTGCCAACACTAGCAAGATCGTAAAATACGTCACAGATCACAATAGTGTTCAAGATCACTAAAGTACGTCACACTGATTGGATAAGTAACACCAATAGTGTTCAAGCAGGATCACTAAAATACGTCACACTGATTGGATAAGTATCACCAATAGTGTTCAAACAGGATCACCAAAGTACGGTGATCCTATAGGTATGACTACGCATGGTTCAACGATCTTCGCCTACGATATTTACTATCAGATTGATTAGCCACAAACAACAGTTCTGTTCATTATTTAACCTAGTCACCGTCAGTAATGCCCAATAATTATGTTATGAGTGAGAAAACAAAATCGTCAAAAATATATCCAAAATATTTTTGTGTGTCGAAATCACCAATATCCCTCCAATATTGCTTAATATCTTCGAGCATCGGATAGACTGAAATGTGTGCATCGAGAAACATCATTTATCGTAAATGTCAAATTCATCTCTGAAATTATGTGAGTAAATGCAACAACGACACATTGTCTTAAAAATAGACACTTATTACAATATACAACTAGTATTCAAATATCACGACTTCATACTCATTGGGCTAAACGTCGAGGCGACACGATCTTCTGTTACACTTTAATGGCGATTTCCGTGCACATTCCAGCCGTATGTGGATATCAGTGAGTGAGTGAGTTTAGATTTACGCCGCCCTTAGCAATATTCCAGCAATATCAGGGCGGGGGACACACGAAATGAGCTTCACACACTGTACCCATGTGGGGAATCGAACCCTTGTCTTCGGCGTGACGAACCAGCGCTTTAACCACCAGGCTACCCCACCGCCCCCTGTGTGTGTCAGTGTGTGTATCTATATATGTGTGTGTTAGTGGACATGGATAACACACAAATAGTCTACTGGTGTATACCGGCCACAACAGACACTTCTGCACTCCAGGCAGACGCTCTATATACCGGGCCACGGAGAAGGTGAAACGGACAAAATGAGTTAACAATCTCTTTAATATCGTATCTTTACAAGATTCATTTTCGTGTCAGGCTGTATCCTGTCAGTGGTAGAGATCAGTGTTATACATGTGTCTTGTGACCATTCCTTGTATACTTACGATAGTTGAACACACACGCCACTCAGCATGTTTAACACATCGATGTTTAGGATATATCGTTAGGATATACTCTATGAAGCACCCAATGACTCACGCGGGCAAACATGCATATCTAATAACTTCAAGCAAAGGGTCAATGCACTATATCACACATTTTGTACTGTTGTACTTCTGAACGTACCTAGATGAAAAGAATTTGTCACCAACACTTCATCTTTATCGCTGGGAATGTAATTTCCCCTTTCTCCAATGTTTGCACATTCAAATAGCGACAGTGTTAATACAAGCAACAACAGCCTTTTCCCATTTATTAAGAAACGTAATGTAATATTTACGTAAAGTAGGTGAATGTCTCTGTGTAGTCATTTGGCTTACCGTGATGGAGCTCCAGTTGTGACGACGTCGTCGTTGTCAACCCCACCAGTGATATGCTGATCCACCTGTCACACTGCCGTAGCAGCTGTCGGCCATTCCAAGCACGCGTTCACAACCAGAGTGTGAAGATCGTGGAATAATCACGGCTTTTGTACAGCGTATCTTATAACTTTTTTGTAGGATATTTATATAGCGCACATATCCAGGCAACTAGTGCATGTTCAAGGCGCTGGTATTTTTCCCTCGATCATTGGATGTCAATCTCAACGGCACATCGTATTATAATGTAGAAAGGCTGATGATGTTTCTAGATGGAAATGACACGTCTAAAGTATTGGATCACCAATCTGACAGTGTCCCACTGGACACGTCTAGGACATCAATGTGCGTCGACGTCAACATCCACCCACTAACCACGCTGCTTATACTGACGACACCAGGGTCAGAATGACCCGTCTCACTGGCTCCCCACTGTACCCGTCCCACTGTTGGGCTAGCGATCCTAACTGTACCCGTCCCACTGTTGGGGTAGCGATCCTCACTGTACCCGTCCCACTGTTGGGCTAGGGCTCTCCACTGTACCCGTCCTACCCGTAAAAGCGGTATAGTAATAAGTGATCGCTTGAAATATAAATTGTATGAAGAAAGTCCACTCACGGTATAACACGGGAGACATCAAACAATGCGCACGGGTACGTCCAGCCGCTTCTGTGATGCCTCGGGGACATGACCCGGAATAATCACCGGTCAAGGTCAAGGCAGTTTCAAAACGGTCAGATTGTATTGGCAGGTGAGCATCTCAGTCTAAGTAGTTCATAGACGCGGCGAATATTCGGATTTAGCATTTCAGTGTAATCCTTCGCGTTGTTCACTGACAGCAGTCGTTGTTCCAGTCATGCATCAAAGATCAACCCAACTGTAGGCCAATCGATGGCTACTGATTAATATCTAATTCAGTGTTCATATTTTATACACAGGTTATCGTGTTGGCGTGTAGTGATGAAATACCACACCAAATAGAAGTGTGATACCCAGCCGCATTAAAAAGGTTATTTGTTACATCAGTAGACATGCATTCTAAAGTAATACTATATGTTATTGACTCACGGTGCACGGTCAATAGCGCTGTGTGTTATATCCCGATCATTCACCTTAAACTTTTGCAATGCCACTGGGTTGTCGCTGCATGGTGCATAAGTAGGTCACACAGTCATCAATGTTTATATTCTAGATATTCACAGTCGTGTGCACAGAGCGGCTTTGACGAGCTTTACATTGAAACACTGCACACTTGCGTGAAACCCGCAGAACGCATTTCCCCTATTGATGAAGCGGATATAACAACAGTTGCGGGTGCACATCTTGCAGAACGGATGTATTATATATTAAATACCAATGTTAACCCAGCTATTATCAACGGATATCGTCACAACACACTAACGGTAAATCCGCGGCGTACGCGGCTGAACCACGTGAAGTAAGTGAGAGAACAGGTGCCAGTAGACCCAGTTTTGCATGCTCGTCTAACGGTCTGCCATATAGATGGGAAACTCAGCCTCAAATTACATTCAGCCTGTATTGGAAACTGTGGGTGCGTGTGTGCCTGCGTGCGTGCCTGCATGTACGAACCTGTTCCCCATTATGTTGTCTAGCCAAGTGGATTATTTCGTATAAACAGCAACAGCCATACATTATTTATTGAGTTGAACTATAACTGCAGTTAAGTTAGGTTTCCCTGCTTCTGTGGTTTATATATAATATAATGACATTGTATATGTGCACACTTGGGTAGGTATACTTTTCCCGGAATTATCTATAATACATTTTCCTTACATTTCTGCTGATTATGTGGTATAAATTTCCAAATCAATCTCTGTCAGACCCATTTTGTTTAGATAATATGTATTGAACTATGAACTATCCAATTATTGTAAAACATGTACATGTGAAAAGAAATAAAGTTGTAATAAAGATCCTTGTCTTATTTAAACTAGTAACTATTTACTTACTTCCTTATTAAGAACGACACACTCGTGACAATCGTGACTTACGTCGGACTCAAGCCATATATACTTCTCTAAACATGTCGTGCCTTGTTCAGCGCTATCCATATCCACGTTTATACGGGTATTTGTCCCCGTATCTGATATCAAATAATCAAAATTGGCACATTGTACAAATAAACCGATATTATATTGGTGCATATAAGGGATATGTCTTGTACCAGTTTTCCCCACCTTTCCATAAATAGCGTTGTTTTCTTGTAAGCAGAATATGGTTATCATCTGTTTTTTTATCTTTTCTTACCTTTGTGCCTACCATGTTCTTTCTCGCATTATTCCACTCTAAGTAAATTAGCTTACAGTTTTCCCAGACATTATTGAGAAAATCTGTTTAATACTGATACTGTCCTGATACTGATAATAAATATTTTTAATTAACTGTTACATTATGCAGCATGGCAACTCTTGAGAATGAACCTTACTACATCAGGAGTTATCTCCCCTGGGGTAGCAGACGGCTTCCTTTGCTGACATGGCAGATGTGACAGCAGAAGAGAAAAGAAAGTTGGATCTAGATGATTCTGAAAGTAGTGTGACTAATGCAAAAGAGGTATCTGTAGACATGACATTTGTCTGTCTACAGTATACAGAACTTTGAAGAATATTTAGTCAGGAGTTGGGACTGAGCACTAGACAGGGGCAGGGAGGCCAGGAAGTTCAGTACTAGGGATCGCCGGCGACTTGGTCAGATTGGGGAAGATTGAAAAGAGAATTTCAGAAATGAGAATTAACAGAGGAAGTCCTCAGGTATGTAATGAAAACCTTAGACAAGAATTACAAAGACTTAACTGGATGAAAAAAGCGCGGAATTCCCTCACCATATATGAAAGATGCACAAAAAGAAAGACGTTTAAACATCTGCAACATCCCAGTGGCTCTTTCTCTCTCTCTTCAGATATTAATCGTGGCATATTTCTCGTAATTGTGTATCATATCATGCATTCTAAGCTCTCTTTAGATCCTATAGAATCATTCTACACGTGAAAATGTTGCAAATACTGCTGGAATATTGCTATGTGTAAACAGAAAATGGAAAAATGTTACTTTGCAAGCAAAAATGTTAACAAAGATAATTTTAGGTGTTCCTAAACACTTTTTAACAATATCAAAGACACGTTGTACTTGTTTTCACTAATAAAATCAGCAGAAAATATTTTAAAAGACTGAAATCATAGGAATGATTCTTTTACAATTTTACACATTCCACAACAGTTTTTCTTTGTTTTAACAGTTGAAAAATGGTGACTTTAAACGGTTTATCCTTATCTCAAAGCAGAATTTTATTTCAACCTTTCTTTTGGGCATCTAAATCACTGTTTTTGTTTTATTTCGGTATGGTCGAAAATAGGTCAATTTAACTCTTCTGAAAAAGATGCATTTCAGCTAATTATGAATGCGTTTGAGAATTTGTTTTCGTGATTTTCATAAAGCTGTGTTGTTAAACATATCTTTGATAGTTCTTAAGTAATTCATAATGGTAGGAGGGTAACGTTTCTTTTGGCGTTTAGTGTACATTTTCGCACGTCACAACCACAACCGTCTGCACATAATGTGCATCTCCACACGACAAATAAACGACCACATGCACCAAAAAACAAATTTGTGCTCTGAAGAAATGCGTTGGGTTTCCTGTTGTTGATTGATCGTGATCATTGACCTTTATCATAAGCTCAAGATCTATGGCATATCTTATCAGGACACCAGGCCTCACAGTAGACGACTGATGTATCACACGTTGCCATTGAGTGAGGTACAGAACACTTTATTGGATGATGAACAGGGCACTTCACTGAATGAGGAAAGGAACACTTTACTTGGTGAGGAATGAACAGAGCAAATCATTGAGATTATTGTTCTGGGTGAGGACCAGAGCACATTATTTATGTGAGGAACAAAACGCTTTATTGGGTGAGGAACAGAACGCTTTATTGGATGAGGAACAGAACCCTTTAATGGGTGAGGAACAACACGCTTTATTGGGTGATGAACAGGGCACTTCATTGAATGAGGAAAGGAACACTTTACTTGGTGAGGAACAGAACACTTTATTGGGTGAAAAACAGATGGAACAGGTCTTGGTCGACAAGACACCCATTGTCCAAAATGTTCAATACTCATCATAGTAGAAACGATATGAGATATGTTACCAATATGGTAAGGGGTTTATTGCTTTTATGTAAGGCAAAACAGAAATACTAACAATACGATCTTTATTCCAGTCCTTTTACAGCTAGCCATGATGAGATGCCACGAAAAACGTTGGATAGTGTCCAAAGCGGATTTAAACCCAAGGCACTCACTCATCCATTTACACTCCACTCATGCTTATGTTCATTATTGAAAAGACAAATCATAATTAGATGATCTTATTAAGTTCACAACATTGCAAGTTTTGTACAATATTTTCCCAAGTGTCCTTCCACGCAATACTATCATAGGCGGATCCAGGAATTTTGAAGGGGGTGGGCTCGAACCCCCTGAACCCCACATTGGCTCCGCCAACGCAAAAATAAATCTTCAATGTGGTCTTAAGTCATTTTCAAGGGGGGGAGGGGGGTGGAACCCCCTCCTCTCTCACTCTCACACACACACACACACACACACACACACACACACACACACACACACACACACACACACACACTCTCTGGATCCGCCAATGACTATCATCATTCTGAGTGGCCTGTGGCCTCTCTGAATGCGATGACAATAAATAATGATTAAGAATATCTTCTGATGGCTGTACGCAATCTGGTAAGAAAACCAGAACTCACAGAACCCTCTTAGGCAAAACCTAAGGTTGCACAGTCTTTGTTTTAAAGAAAGATCCCATCTTCGGTTTGTCAGTCTGTCCAAAATAGACAGAAGGCATGACATCTATTGTAGGAAACATCACAGGCAGCAGGGCTTGGTTGTCTTCAGAAATCTGTATCTCACCCCCGTTCTTGCTCTCCTCGGGATGTAGCGACACTCTTTTCCGTGAGGCCAAACATACCTGGTACTGTTTGGTCCTGATGTTCTCTAGTTTGGCATTCTGTGGCTTCTCCTGAGCTTTGTGAGTGTGAAAAGCAAGATTTTTATTTAACCTTAACTCTTCTTCCACACAAAGCTTCCTTTCCCCGGGATGAGGTGTTTGACGGTGTTGAGGAATGATAAACAATGGAACATCCTTTGGTGTCAGACAAGGTCCCATAACCTGCTGTCGTTGCTTGACTAGACGTTTTCGAAGCTCAGCCCGTGCTTCCTGAAACTTGCCTTCACACCAGTTTACCATTCCCAGAAGCGAACTCATGCTTGCTACCCAATGTCTGCAACGGTGTGTACCTGAAAGTAAACACATGATGGTTTTAAGTCGTTAATTCACCCAACTTGTTATGTTCTGAGTTTGTTTCACAAAAAGTCAATTTCTACTTCATATGTTTTTAAAGAATTTGTAGGCATTGCATCATATCAGCTCGTTCTCGTCATATCCTATCAACCGCCCATATATCCTACAAGCTTAAGGAATCAATTTATAAGCCTTCAAGCAGCAGCCTCAACCAAAAGATGATACGAGATGATATAAATAAAGAAAGGTAGAATATACTTTCTAACTTTACCCCAATAGAGGCTTTGCAGAAGTATTCTCCAATGATCGTTAGGGTATTTGCAATAGTTAGCCACCCTTCCATAATGTAAGAAAATATTCAACATTACGTTCACAGAAAGGCGGAACAAGGCTTATCTCCTTGGAAAAATGATCTATCACCTCGTGACAGATGTTGAGTATTCTGTGACTCAATTTCAGGTTATTTTTTTTATTTGCTTGAATGTCTAATAGCTAAACTCGAAACTTTCTCTCTCTGTTTGCTTTCACAGCGTTAAAGTTTGATTTCTCTTTTTCAATTTCAATTATTAACTTATCGGAGTTAAAAATATTTTGTTCTCTTTTTCACACATTTAATAAGAACCGAAGCACAGGCAAACTTTGACAATAAGTTTTGAATATGTGTCCACGTTTGGAAAGGTACTTTTCCGTAGAATTCTCATTGACAAACATATCTACACTAAACACCATGGTGATTGCTGGCTTCACATAATAGTAAACAGATATATAAAAAACATAATGTTAATCCAGTAAGTTGACCAGATAACTAGACATATCCCTGGCGAGGACCCCATTTCTCCCTTCTAAAACAATCAGTTTACCCAAAC